TATTCTTACCATTATTATATGTCCTTCCTATGCCTGAGGTAGAGGAGTCAATAGAGCCCCGCATAGGCTGGAGGGTCACCGTTGAAAAAAACGATACCGTATCACTTTTGGATGAACTGACTATCATTTATAGCAGTGCTCCCTGGAGTGTGATAGGAGATCCTCTGCGTCAGAATCACGAGGTGTGGTAGTGTGGCTTATATAAAAATGTAAATCTCTGAGCCCCACCCTGGCCCTATTGTTTACTTCTGGAGCTGGGGCTCAGGAAGCCCCATTTTAAGTGGTGATTTAAATGCATGCTAAAGTTTAAGAGCCACTGTTAGAGGCTCACGCAGGAGTAAGGAAACTTAATAGTATCATTATTAACGCTGAATGATAGACAAGGGGGCATTTAAGTCAACATTTCGGTAGCAGTAAGTAAGGACAATGTGGCTTATATTGGAAACCAGAAAACTCTTTCGAAAATGACCTTGTCTAATGAATTGAACACAATAGACTAAAGCCAAGTGACTTTCCAGAAAGATTAGCCTGTTTAAGTCTTGCAGGAAAGCTGGAGATGAGTCATAACATAAACACTGATGATGTCTTTCATCCTAAGCCTTTCCCCAGTCTCAGCCAAAATCAAGAAAGGACAGAAAACTGCCTGAGGGACAGGTGGTGGCATTTGCTGCTTGTCCCTCTACCCTGGGCCACCAGGGACCCTCCAAGAGCAGTTTCTCCACTTCCCACCAATCTCCTTAGCCTTAAAGGAACAGAAGTGGTTAGGAGCAGAGAGAAAGAAAGAGAATGGGGAGGGAGAGTGAATAGGCAAAGAAAGCCCTCAAGGAAGTTGTAAGAGGAAAGGAAATCCAAGGGAGAAGACACAGATGCCTGGAAAATGAAAGCAGACGTAGGAATGAGGAGGAAATGAGAGAAGCAACCACAGAAGAAAAAGTAAAAGGATTTATAGCACAAACTGCAGAGCCAGACAGATCCAGGGTCACTCCACCGAGGAGACAGGAAATCCTAAAAGGATGTGCCCGAAAGGACAGAACTGCGAAATACGTGCAGCGAAAACTGATAGAACCGAAAGGAAAAGTAGACAAATTCTTAAGCTTGAGAACAAGGTGCAGACATTCGCTTTTGCCACTTTGATTCAACATAATGCTGGAAGTCCTTGCCAGTGCCACAAGGAAACACACACACACACACAAAGAAGAGGCATACAGATAAGGGGAAAAAATTGTCCCTCTTTGTAAATGACATGATTGTCCACACAGAAAAGTCCAAAAGAATCTGCAAAGAACAAAACAAAAACCTCTTAGCATTAATAATAGTTCAGCAGGGTTGCAAGATAGAAGGTAAATATAGAAAACCCAATTATATACCTATTTACCATCAATAAGAACATGGCCACCAAAATTTAAAGTACAATACTATTAATAAGCACTGAAACCATTTAAATAATTAGGTATAGGGACGCCTGGGTAGCTCAGTCAATGGAGCGTCCGACTTCGGGTCAGGTCACGATCTCACAGTTTGTGGGTTTGAGCCCTGTGTTGGGCTCTGTGTTGACAGCTCAGAGCTTAGTCTGCTTTGGATTCTGTGTCTCCCTCGCTCTCTGCCCCTCCCCTGCTCAAGCGCTGTCGTCTCTCAAAAATAAATAAACATTGAAAACTTTTAAAAAATAATTAGGTATAAATCTAACAAAATAAGCATACGTTTTGTGTGCAAAGAATTATGCAATGCTGATGGGAGAAGTCAAAGCAGATCTCAATAAATGGAGAGGCATACGGTATTCATGAGTTAGAGGACAACATAGTAAATATGTCATTTCTCCCCATGTTAATACACAGACTTAAAGATTCAATGCAGGGGCGCCTGAATAGCTCAGTTGGTTAAGCATCTGACTTCTGTACAGGTCATGATCTTGCGAGTTGTGAGTTCGAGCCCTGCGTCAGGCTCTGTGCCAATGACAGCTTGGAGCCTGGAACCTGCTTCAGATTCTGTGTCTCCCTCTCTCTCTGCCCCTTCCCTCCTTGTGCTCTGTCTCTCTCAAAAATAAATAAGCATTTTTAAAAAAGATTCAATCCAATTCCTATGAAAGTCCTAGAAATATTTTTTTGTAATTATAGACAAGATTATTCTAAAATTTATATGGAAATGCAAATGAACTAAACTAGCTAAAGCAATTTTGAAAAAGAATCATGTGGGAAGAGGCAATCTACTCACCTTCAAGAGATAGTATATAGCTACTGTCATAAAACCATGTGATATTGACAGACAGATGAGAGAAAGCAGCATCTCCACAGAGTTATGTCAACTGATCTTTGACAAAGGTGTAAAAGCAATTCAGTGGGGGAGAGATGGCCTTTTCAACAATGGTGCTGGCCAAAAAGAAAAAAGAACTTCAAGATAAGTTGAAGTTATCTTGTATACCTATCAAGTATACCTTGCCGACGTGTAGCTCAAAATGGATCATGAACCCGAAAGTAAAATTAAAACTATAAAATTTTTAGAAAAAGAATCGGGAGAAAATTTCAGGATACAGAGCTTGAAAGAGTTCTGAGACTTAACACCAAGGCACAATCCATAAACAGAGAAACTGATACAGGAACTTCATCAAAATTAAAATGTTTCCTTCTATGAATGACCCTATTAAGAGAATAAAAAGATAAGCCACCGAGTGGGAGAATTGTTTGTAAACCACATCTCTGACAACGGACTAATATTAAAGAGCTCTCAAAACTCAACAATCAAAGAGCAACCCATTTAGTAAATAGGCAAAGACATGAACAAGAATTTCGTGGAGAAGAACATATAGATGTCAAATAAGCACATGAAGAAAATGTTCAGCCTCATTAGACATTAGGGGAATGCAAATTAAAACCATAATGAAATATCACTACACATCTGTAAAAATGGCTAAAATTAAAAATAGTGAAAACTCCAAATGCTGGGAGGGATATGGAAGAACTAGATAGCTCATCTCTACATTGCTGGTGGGAAGGTCATGTGGTACAGCTACTCAGGAAAACAGTTTGGCAGTTTCTTGAAACATTAAGCATGCAGTTACTATATCCAGAAATCACACTCCTGACACATATCCTAGAGTAATTAAAACCAATCTTCACAAAAAAACCTGTACATTAATGTTTATAGAAGCTTTATTCATTATAGCCCAAAACTTTAAACAACCCAGATGTCCTTCAATGGATGAATAGTTGACCAAACTGTAATCCCTCTATACCATGTAAATACCACTCAGCAAATTAAAAAATGACCTTTTGATATACACAAGAATCTGGATGAATCTCTCTAGAGAAATATGATGAGTTGAAGAAGCCACTTCCAGAAGGTTACATCCTATATGATTCAACTTATGTAACATTCTGGAAATGAAAAGATTATAGAAATCTTGGGGTGCCTGGGTGGCTCAGTTAAGCGTCTGACTTCGGCTCAGGTCATGATCTCACGGTTCGTGGGTTCGAGCCCCACATCGGGCTCTGTGCTGACAGCTAGCTCAGAGCCTGGAGCCTGCTTCAGATTCTGTGTCTCCCTCTCTCTCTGACCCTCCCCTGCTCACGCTGTCTCTATCTCTCTCTCAAAAATAAAACATTAAAATTTTTTTAAAAAAGAAATCTTTTCAGGGAGGGAATGAGTTTGGGAGAAAGAGGAGGTGGCTGTAAAGGGATAACATGATGCATCCTTGTGGTTATGGAAATGTTCTGTTTCTTGACTATATCAATGCCAGTGTCTAGTTTGTGATATTGTACTACAGTTTTACAAGATGTTACTTTGGGGGAAACTGGGTAAAATGTGCAAGGGGTCTCTGTATCATTTCTTAGAATTACACATTAATCTATAATTACCTTTTGTAAAATGTTGAAAGAAAGGGGTGTCTGAGTGGCTCAGTCAGTTGAGCATCTGGTTCTTGATTTCAGCTCAGGTCATGATCTCACGGTTCATGAGATTGAGCCCCGTGTGGGGGTCTGTGCCAACAGCGTGGAGCCTGCTTGGGGTTCTCTCTCTCCCTCTTTCCCTGCTCCCCTCTGGCTTGCACTCTCTCTCTTGAAATAAAGACATAAACATTTTTTTTAATTTAAAGAAAAGTGACATTAATATCTCATGATTTCTCTGGTAGCTCCTTCACTGTTTCTATTTAGCTCCAACTCACCAGATGGCGGGACATAGATCTCAGTCAGTCAAGGGTCTCCCTGCTTCCTTAAATCTGAGTTTCAGGGAGGTTAACTTGATGCCAGACCTGTGCTTGCTGTCATCATCTATGCTGGTGTCCAGCCTTCCGTCCACCTAGGACACGGCTGCACCTTTGGGGCTGATGGTTCCATTCTGGGGCTCCACAAGTCCTTTCCCTCAGTGGACCTCAGGAAGACTTCAGAAGCCATCTTGGGTCTATTGGCCAGATACACCCAGTGGGCATTTCTACTCCTCAAGCCCAGGGGCTGAAGGAAGCCAAGGACTATGCTTGGGAATTGGGGGCACAGTTCTCCTTCATTTTAAGGTTCCTCGGCTTTTTCAAGGATGAGAGGGAGGCTTTAGATGAGGCATGGCTAAGTGACCACAAAGTGCACCTTGTGATATCTTGTGTCCCCACCTGACTCCATGTTCAGTTGGTGGCTAAGGAAGGGCTCTGGGCCCCTTGTCATGTCCCTGCTGTTATCCAAGTGCTCTTTGCTTCCTTTTGGATTCTTCTTTCTCTCAGTTCAAACTTTATCTACCCCGAGGGCAGAGGAGACTGTGACACAGTGGATGTATTCTTCCAAATCCTACATCTTAGGTCCAGTCCTCACATTTTTTCTCTTGGGTTCTGAACATTCTGCTAAACCATCCTTCTCCTGGGGGGTGGCATGGAATCTCTTTGTTGCTGCTCAAATTGGTCAGAGTAACTGGACATATGGAGGAGAATCTTCCTGTCATTAGGTCAGAATATTATCCTATGACATATTCTACCATCTTTCTGCCCTTGGTCCCCTTACTCACTGGCTTGTCTTTCCCTTCAGCTTGTGGCCCAGGTCCTGGAACATAAAGATATAGGCTTTGTGATGGTGGATGCCAAGAAAGAAGCCAGGCTTGCCAGGAAACTGGGTAAGTGGGACTTCTTTAGGCATACCAGGAAGAAACAAATGTGTCTTACAAAAAAAAAAAAGTACAGTTTCATTTCTTCTCGCATGGTAACTGGACTATTTTTCAATAAATACAAAAGGATTCTGCACATCATAGTCTTGGGGTGGGGATGAGTTTTGTGAAAGTAGTATTGGCCTGAATTGCATGATTTTATGTGAATCCTCAAATGTATCTTTGTATCACTGTAGAAATTGACACCAAAGAAGTCAAACCTATCTTTTCAGCCCCTAGAGCGGGCTAAAATCCTGGCCTCCTCATCTCACTGCCATGGTCATCTCTATGGAAGAGAGCAGATATCTTCTTCCATCACCTATTATTTCCTCATATCTTGGGCAACACAAGATAACCTTAATAGTAGTGACTCTGGGGTCCTAGTGGTTTCTAAATGTAAAGCTAAACCCCAGCTGGGCATTGTCATTAAGGGCGAGAGGGAGGATTTAGATGCAGCATGGTTAGGTGGCCACCCAGTGCATGTTGTGATCTCTTGTGTCAATATGTCATGCTTAATTTCAAGTGCACTTTAAGACTCTCACACCCCTAAGCCCAAGGAGAGAGAATACAGGTAGTACCTCTGGTTTTGCAGCACCCACACACATGTACTGCCCATTTTGCCTTTTCTGCATGACCAGTGAAGAATGGCTCTTTAAAAATAGCAGGAGCTTATAAAACAGGACCTTTGAAGAAAGGTTAATTGGATTTGGAGTAGTAAACGAAGGGGGGTGGGGAGGAAGATTAGTGGCTTCAGGTACTCAAAAGTTCATTATCTTTGAGCATTACAAACAACTGTTCTCTTATTTTCAAGAAGACCAGCCTCTTTCTTTCTTTCTTTCTTTCTTTCTTTCTTTCTTTCTTTCTTTCTTTCTTTCTTTCTTTCTTTCTTTCTTTCTTTCTTTCTCTCTCTCTCTCTCTCTCTCTCTCTCTCATTCTTTCTTTCCTTTTTAAAGATTTAAATTCTATGAGACTGTATTTAGGTTAGACACAAGGAAGAATTCATGATTATAAAGTGATAATGCACTATTAAGAATGTCTGAGTATCGGGGCGCCTGGGTGGCTCAGTCAGTTAAGCGTCCGACTTTAGCTCTGGTCATGATCTCACAGTTTGTGGTATCAAGCCCTGTGTTGGGCTCTGTGCTGACAGCTAGCTCAGAGCCTGGAGCCTGCTTCAGATTCTGTATCTATCTCTCTCTGACCCTCTCCTCCTCAAGCTCTCTCTCTCTGAGCAATAAATTAAAAAAAACATTAAAAAAAAAGAATGTCTGAGTATCTCCCTGGAGATACATTAAGGAATATTTTCCCCGCCTTGACGAGGGGAACAGAGTATGTTAAACTCTCTCTCTAGTCAAAAGCAACTTAATGACTTGTTTCTCTTTACCCAGAACCTGTTGATTCCCTAGTCTTCTTTCCCATTGCTTCCATGGGAAGTTGAATTTGAGAAAATTTCCAGTAAATTTAGTTGGAGGAGAATAGTGGCATTCCAGTGATCTAAGAATTTAGGGTGTGTGTTGGGGGGGGGGTGCTGGGCAAGCTTTTGTAAGAATGGACCAGTGGGCTTTCTCCAGGGGACAGAGAGCTTAAAAAATCTAAATGAACATTTCTCATTCCGTTCAACCTGGAGGAATTGGAGCAGGAATTAGTTTTTGGTTCTCGGAGTTTACAGGACAGCAGTATTTTGTGAACCTGTGCCTTCATCATCATCCTCCTTTCCATTTGCCTGAGTTTGGTCTCCGTCAGGCTATGTCTGAACTACTACAAAAGCCTCCTAACTGGTTTTCACTTAGAGAAAAATCCAACAGCAGGACACTGACTGATATTCCCAAGTTACCCTTTGTGATCGGTCAAGGGTACTTGACACCTTGACCCTTTAGATTTACAGATGGTGCTCCAGGTGTGCCTGCGGCCTTTCGGACCTGCCCTGGACACAGCAGGCAGTGGGCCAGCCTCCTTTCCTCTACAGGTTCTACAGGAGAGTTCCTTTGGAGAAAGCATTCTCCAGCTAATAGAGAGTTTGAAAACAATTAGTCTAAGGAACTAAGGATGACATGCAGTTGGACCACATGCCAGCCTGAGTTATTTAGCATTCCTGGAGGGAAATGCAGTTTTCCAGCATCGAACATTTGCTAAAGCGCATAGCATTACGCCAGGAGCAATGGAGGGCAGAAGAGATGCAGAACTTTCCCTTGCAGATTATCAGCTAACTGGAAAAAGATGGGCAGAATTCAGCCACAATAGAAAAGTCAGCTGCTCATTCTGGCCATGGACGTTTATGGGGTGCCCGATGTGTCCAGGCTCTGTGCACGCTGCTGGGGGTACCAAGATGACAGTGGTCCTGCCTTTGGGGGAGCTTACCGTTCCAGTGAGTTCCTATAAACGAAGCTGAGAAAAAAGCAATGATGGCAAGAGATACTGGCGTGACCTCCTTGGGAAAGAGGAGTCCTAAGCTGAGATCCAAAGGAACTGACCAGAAGGAGAGCAAGGGTGGAGGTCACTCCAAATTTAGGGAACCAGGAGAACATCTGGGTAAAGAACCACACTCTGTGACTTTTCCTTCACAGTCCCTGTCACCTCAGCACGAGGGCAAGAAGGAAGGAGAGCGCAGAGAGGATTAAGAGAGCAGGTCTAGCCAAGGGAGAATGTGAAGGGGGGAGGATTGGCACTAGGTTGTGGAGGGACTGGAATGCCCGGCTAAAAGGAGTCAAGTAGGCAGTGGGCATTGAAACATTTTGATGGGGGAGAATGAGGCTGCAGTATACTTGGAAAATGAAAACAGCAGTAGAGTAGAGAATCAAGCTTTCTTTCAAATTAAAGTTTAGGTGGGGCTGTTGGTTCTTGACTATGTCCATTTAAATGTGTACTTAGGGTATTCTTTCCAGGGGTGGTTTCCAAGGGAACTGACCCCAAGGTTAATGCCAGCTCCACAGATCCTGAGCCAGACTTCAGCCCCTGGGATGACTTTTCTTGCATCAAGGTGACCTTCTCTTGGGGGCTCTTTTTTTCTTCCAGGTTTTGATGAAGAAGGAAGCCTGTATATTCTTAAGGGCGATCGCACGATTGAGTTTGATGGCGAGTTTGCCGCTGACGTCCTGGTGGAGTTTCTCCTGGACGTAAGCATTTACCCACTGTGGCCATGCATGGAGCTGCTTGGGTTCCCACAGAGGGGGGTGTAAAGCCCCTAAGTCAAAGCGGAGAAGCTGGATACTCCATCCTGGCCTAAGACAGATCCCCATGCCTCACAAAAACCTAGGAGAACTTACTTCACAGTGCTATTTTCTCCTGGGAAAAAAATGTAGGCAACACATTAATTCTCTTAGCAGTTATACACCACGAACCCCTGAAGCCCCATTGGCTTTGTTCCAGGGCATCTGAAGAGGACCTGGGGAGAGCGGGAGAGAGAGATGGATAATCAGAGATGGAGACAGAGGAACAGTCAGCTGAGGGGGCAGGACTAAGGGCCCCCCGCTATCCCACTCCCCTCTCAGCCACAGAGGTACAACACTCCAGATCCATGTGCTCAGGCAGCTAGAGCAACCTACCTGATAAAGATGTGTTATCCATAGAGAAACGCACACTTTCAGTAGTAGCTGTGAAGTAGAATGCTTTTGAACAGATACCTGTACAGATAGACGACATCCGTGTCAATGATTCCCCGGATACTGGCTAGTGCACGGTGGCCTGTAGCCTCTTCCTCGTGGCCTCAAAAAACCCAGACAGAGTGAGTCAAAAGTGAGTTGAAGGCCACCTCCTGCAAAGAACCACCCAAGACCACCTCGGCTCTCTCGTGGACCCATGACCTACAAGCCCTAAAAATGTGAAGGAGGCAACAGAAAACTCTGGGTCAGCCCAGCACTGGCCCATCTCTGTCTGCTACGCAGAGGCTTTTAGATGCACGTAATGGAAACCAGACTCAACTACCTCAAAGCACAAATGGAAGAGCAGAGTGAGGGCAGATGTTAGACTTATTGATAAATCACAGGTAGTGCGCTTCTCAGTGTTTTGCCTTTGTCCTAAAGCTGACTATTTTTGGGTTGGTTATAAGACAGCAGTGGCGGGAGCTGATAGCACAACTCCTCATTCATACACAGTGAGGGGCGGTTGGAGGGGGGGGAAGGTGGGGGAGGATCTGGCTTCCCTCCTTCTCTTTAAAGGAAAGGAGAACTTTCCCAAAGCTTGCAGCACATCTGCCCCGGAGAGTCATTGGCCAGAACTGGGTCACATGCCATTCCAAACTCCATACGGACAAGAGAAATAGAACTGCCCAATTGGCCTACCCCTTGAGTTACGTCCATTCCTTGGAAGGCATTGCCTCTGTGCGCACTGAGGGTGCATGGGGTCCACAGCTTCCTGGCAAAGTATCTTACATGTGTGCCCAATTTCCCCACTGAGGAAGGCACAGTTCTCTTGTTGGAACATATTTCATATACGTGTGTGTGTGTGCGCGTGTGTGTGCCATTCTAGCTAATTGAAGATCCTGTGGAGATCATCAGCAGCAAACTGGAAGTCCAAGCCTTTGAACGCATTGAGGACCAGATCAAACTCATTGGCTTTTTCAAGAGTGAAGACTCGGAGTGTAAGTTGTCTGTCAGCCCCACCTGTGAGTCTAAAGGCTAGATTCCCAACCGGATAGGTTACATGTCACCCAGAAAGAGGATGGGCTGTCGGCATATCCTGTGCTGGGTGGGATAGAGGGAGAGCCTTCCTTGCACCCTCTGCAGTGGGTGGGACGCAGGTACAAGAATGATGCAAAACAGGCAGGGATGCTGCAAGAGCATTAAGGTTGGGCTGTGTTCTCCGATCTTGATCAGAGGTGATCAAGGGGAGGTAAGTGTTTTACAAAATAGAGAAAAGTCTTCTTCCACCTGCCCACCTACCAGTGGGCCTCTCCCCTAAAATAAGTAAGTAGTGGGCTCTTTCCCTGACGTTGGGCCCTCCTCTGGTCACTGGTTGGAGAGCTTCTCAGCCACTTGGACAGGATTAGAGGAAAATTTGAGTCAGCAGGGCTTTGCAGCTTCCCACAATGTGGAAACTTGCTGGCCATCCCCACAGATGGCCTCCGAGGCTCCCTGTAATAGCACAGCCTCACCCTTGGGTTTAATCCCTTTGAACGCTTTGCGGTCAGGCTCTGGGTGGGCACAGGAATGCATCACAGCGCTACCACCACCCTTGCAGGGGTGAGAGGGTGGAGAGTGGGAGTCAGGAAGAGGAGGGCCCAGCAAAGCTACTATTGGAGTACATTTGGCAGCATGTCCCCATGAAGTAATCCTTTTCCTGAAGTCTCAGCTGTGCAGAGAAGGAGAGTGTAGGGGGAGTGGGCATAACCATGGTCGCATTAGCGCGAGGGGGCCATGCAGAGGAGGGCTGCTTATGTCTCTGGAACGTCCAAGGTATTTTGAAAATGTTTTGAAAATCCTTTGTGAAGCTGTTACCCATCTGCCATCTGGCATCCTTGGTCTTCGCGCCAACAAGCCACCATGTTCTCCCTCCCGTGACCAAATGTCATGTCTTCTCACATGTTACGTAAAAGTCTCTCTGCTGGGGACTCTCTACTCACTACTAGTGTGCGGGGGAAGGTGGCTAGCAGAAGTGGTTTGCCCAGTCCTCCTTTGGGTGATTTCACTGCGATCTTTCTGTTTCTTTTAGATGCTGGCTACTGTAGGGTGCTCTGCCTACCCCTTCTTCTTTCTCTTTGGTTTCCTTCCATTTCCCTTTCTCCTTTTCTGTCCCCACCCCTCTGTCTGCTGCATCCTCTGTGTCTCTCTCCTCCATTAAACTCAGGATAGCAGATAAGGAGGGAGGCCAGACCCAGACTGAGATAAAGAGCACATCTTCCAGTTCCTGTCCTCCCTGCTACACCAAGTGACAGAAACAGCTCCCTTTCATCAACACACATCATGGGCCTGGTCTATGCCAGGAGCTCCATATAGATGCCTTCATTTCTTTCTCATGACCAGCCTGTAGGGTGGTTACCATATTAACAGCATTTTAATGATGAGGAAATGAAAGGAACACAAAGGTTAAATTAGCCCACTATCACACAGCTAGGAAATAAATTGTAGAGCCACCATTTCAGTCCCAGGAAACTGCCGTTATAGCTGACACACTTAAACACTGTTTTGTGCTTTCAAGACTTACACACCTTTTCACATCATGGCACACACAAAATGTGGGGGTGCTTGTGCAGCCCATAAGAGTGACTTGGAAGGGATTTCGACTTAGAAAAACAAAACAAAACATCCTTTTGCTTTCTTTATATTCTACTACTACTGCTACTACTAACAATAATAATAATAATAATAATAATAATAATAATAAAACAAGATAAGAGAGAAGTTATCAATATTGCATTGCATAAATCTTCCAAATAAAATATTTTTAAGTATTTGAATGAGAATGTTGTACTGGCTTCTAAAACTATAGCTTTTGATAAATAAAAAATTTAAAAAAAAAGGGGGCACCTGGGTGGCTTAGTCGGTTAAGCGTCCGACTTTCGCTTAGGTCATGATCTCGCGGTTAGTGGGTTCGAGCCCCGCGTCGGGCTCTGTGCTGACTGCCAGCTCAGAGCCTGGAGCCTGTTTCAGAGTCTGTGACTCCCTCTCTCTCTGACCCTTCCCTGCTCACGCTCTCTCTCTCTCTCTCTCTCTCTCTCCTAGAAATAAATAAAAAAATTAGAAAAAAAAACTATAGCTTTTGAAACAGCAACATGCCATTCCTGGTGAAGGGTTGACAAAGAGACCTTGGATGGCAGCAAATGACAGGACAATGGTCATTGCTTTTTCTCTTTGATGGATGAGCAGTCTTCTCTCACCATTGAACAGAATTCAGGAAGTCTAATCTCTAAACTGTGCTTCCAGAGTGTGAGCATTCGTTCAGTCCTTGTGGCTATTACTTTCTTTTTCATCGATAAATGGAATATTCTCATGATAATTTGTTTTTTTTTTTTAAATATTTTTTATTTATTTCTAGGAGAGAGAGAGACAGCGTGAGCAGGGGAGGGTCAGAGAGAGAGGGAGTCACAGACTGAAACAGGCTCCAGGCTCTGAGCTGGCAGTCAGCACAGAGCCCGACGCGGGGCTCGAACCCACGAACCGCGAGATCATGACCTAAGCGAAAGTCGGACGCTTAACCGACTAAGCCACCCAGGCGCCCCGTTAATTTGAATAGATTTCAAATTCAAAGTTTTCCATATTATACATTTCAAAATAATGATGAAGCATTTCCTGAGGAATACACAGATGTTGCTCTACTGGTTTTACCTTTTTTTTTTTTTTTTCTGAAGATTTAAATAGTAAAATCACTAATGAGCCATTTCAATCTCCTTTTTAGGGTTGAATTCTTATCTTTGAACTGACAAACTTGGTCTTTAGGAATACCCGATACCAGATCAGGTTAATAATACTGATTATGATGATGATGAGCATAATAAAAATAGCAGTCATGCATTCATTCCTTTGATATTGGTAACAAATACAAACATTAGAGTATATGAAATAAAACAAAACAAAAAAAAAAGAGTATTTCACCGAGTGTCACAAACCGAAAACCATCACTGCTGACGACAGTCACAGCACCTGAGAAGATCCAGTCAGGGGAGTAGCCTCTCCGAGGCTCTCTGGGGCCATGATGCCTGCTGATGTCTTAGGCAGAAAATAACCGTTCTAGAATGCGGGAAGTTTATAGACAGAACAGTTACTTTCAGATATAACATTAACTACTGTAAAATTTTGAATGGTTGTAGAAAACATGTAGGAACTTTATCACCACACACACACACACACACACACACACGTCTCTCAAGGCTGTTGTGACACACCCGTGGCTGCGCACACTGACAGAAAGCATCATGATGTTCCATCAGGCACCCACATCTCTCTGTTCCTTCTTGCTCTTCAAAAGAGGATGGAGTCTTAGGTGGGGAAGCTAGGAGTGGGCAAGGCACCCAGGGAAGCCGTCGTTGAGAAACCTGTATTTCAGCTGTAATTTGGGGGTGATTGGTCAAGGAACTTTAATGGCACCAAAAGCATTGGCTCTACAATGATCCCAGGCCATCCTATAGAGCAAGAATTATGGAGGGGCCGTGGAGCATTGGAGGGACTTAACACATAGTTGGACTGGAATGGTCTTGGGAGAAAAGAGTCCTAAGAGATTTGGGACCAAATTAGGACCTGGAAGAACTGGGGAGCTACATGTACCAAGGGAGTTGGACATGAAGGTTCACATCCGGCTTGAACTTGTAGCTATGGATGCTAGTGTTGAAAGAGCATGACAACAACTTCCGGGGGTGGGGGCAATTCAGCTGATGTTAAGAATTCCAAACTGGGGGAAATCTGGAGCTGGAGTGAGGGCAATACCCAGAACGGGAACCCTTGAGAGATGGGAAGAAAGGTGAGGAAATGCTAAGGTAAGTCTGGGAAGCTGGAGGTTGAAGGCTGACTGTTGAGGAGCCTATTCCGGACGGGGAAGCTGGAGGGTCAGACTGGAGGAGCCAGGAAGGAGCTGGTCGGCCTCAGAACAGGACGTGAGGGCAAGGAAAACCTGGGACCAGGTGGTTAGACCAGATGCCCTACAAGAGAGCTGCTGTTGGGCAAAGTTAAAGGTTCAGGCACAGTCTGAAACCACACCCTGGGGAACCACCCTGCCCTGGTTACTCTTCTTCATCTAAAAAGGGATGTAGACTGGTTCCCTAGGGGAAGAAGGGACTTATCTGGACACAGGTTGAAGCCATTCTTTCCATCAGGGTAAAAGTTCATGGAGGTGGGGAGGGGGTCAAGGAAGGAGGATACAAAGGATTCTGATGGAGCCCACTGCAGCTTTAGACAGACAAAAATGACTGAGGTATAGCTGAAACACTTCCATTCTCTCCCACCTTCTCTCTGTTCATTCTCCGGACCTCCCACCCATCTTCTTCTCCTCCACCCTGTTCTCTATCCCAACTATCAGTAGATTTTCTGACGACCCAGTTACTTCTATGGGGATGAGTTTGTGTGAATGTGCATTAGTCTGTACAGGCATTCTTGTGAAGTTTTCAACCCCCTCTCATCTGTGTTTGTTGCACTTACCTCTATTCTAGCAACTATCACGTTGCACTGTGGTTCTCTAAGGAGCTATACCCTCTCTGGGCTGTGAGCCTTTGAGATCAGTGTCTTTGTCTTATATCTTGGTGTTCCCTGAGCCAGTATTATTCTTGAAATGTTTTTGATTGAATATTAGAAAATCTGCACGCTCCTAGGATTCTAGCCAAAGCTTATGCCTCTAGCGATTAAGAGACAGGGAATTCCACAAAATGAGAAGAAGTTAATCTTAAAAATGAATCATAGGATCACCAACTTTCAGGATTATGATTATAGACATTATGCAGAACCACCACCACCACCATTACCATTACCATGACCCTCACCTCTAAGGCTGAAATACCAGTGTATCTACCAGGTAACTATCAAGATGCAGTAAGGCACAGGATGGCCATCCTCATGTGTCTCATGCCTCTTGGCCATTTGGGCCCACATTTGGGACCAGAGTCAAGCATAGGCTTGATTAATTTTAAATCATCCTCCTAAGGGGTCAGAATAAAAATGAAAACTTAAAAAGAGGGAAAGAGGGGTGGCTCAGTTTTGGTTAAGCGTCCAACTTCAGCTCAGGTCACCATCTCACAGTTCATGAGTTCGAGCCCCGTGTCAGGCTCTTGCTGACAGCTCAGAGCCTGGAGCCTGCTTCGGATTCTGTGTCTCCCTCTCTCACTGTTCTTCCCCCGTTCACTCTCTCTCTCTCTCTCTCAATCTCTCTCTCTCTCTTTCTCTCTCTCTCTTTTTCTCTGTGTGTGTGTGTGTCTCAAAAATAAAATAAAACATTAAAAAGAGGGAAAGAAAAATGAGGATTTACCAAAAGGGGTACTCCTGCTAAGAAGTTTAAAGTACCTTCATGACGTCATCTTTGATTGAAGTTGATTTACATACTAAGGTGGATTTTCTTCTTTCTTAGCCCTCATTTATAGTAAGCTGCCCTCTCTCTAGAGGGCACACTTACAACTAGTGGGTGAGTTGGAGTGGAAGAACTTTTCCCTTGGGCTTAGAGTCTAATATTCTGTTTTTCTCCGTCTCCGAGTTTCCTCCATTTTCTCCTTCCCATTTACCGATTCCCCAAAACACATAAAAATGTGGTAAAATGTTCTTCTTTAGCTCAAGTGAATGCCAGTCAAGTCAAACTCCTTGGGCGGTGGGGAAATTGTGGGTTTAAATAGTACTAAATAATATCTACTGAATAGTTATCCTGTCAGGATTAATTGGCTCCCCACTTTCTCTACATTATTTAAAGAGAGAAATGTCTGCAGTGTGCATCTTGAAAAGGTCTCTTTCTTTGATCCATTTTCCTCTTAGATTACAAGGCTTTTGAAGAGGCAGCTGAACACTTCCAACCTTACATCAAATTTTTTGCTACCTTTGACAAAGGGGTAAGTACCTGTGAAACCCCGATTTACATACTTTTGTAGGCATGAAGGATTAAAATTTGAATTTTCCAGGACTTTTTTTTCTTTTAGAAACATTAATCATCCTCCACCCATTAATACTTCCTCCAGAAGTGTTAGAAATACAGCAGGACATCACTTTTGAATGGGAGAGGAGTACAAAGATGATAAATTCAGAGGATGGAAGGGTATTTCTGAAAACGGTCAATGAAAAGTGATGAACCATTCTTTACCACCTTGATCACTAAGAGTGGGCAGTGCATCAGCAGAATGTGCTACTGGTCACTGCTTCCTTGTTTTGAGAGCGATCCTCTCCCTTTCCAGGGTTGCACACTCCTCCCTCTCCTGGGCTATCATGGGGATGGCATGGGGCAGACTTTGGTCCTCTGAAGCCCTGTGTGCTTCAGTAAGTCACCTACATCTTCAAGAGATGTTGTTGACGTACTTGTCTATAACTCAATTGGATGGATGCCAGTCCATCTTTTCAGGACTTGGCAAGTGCTTTTATAAGCCAAAGAACAGCATCTGTGAGGGACTTTGAATCAATCGGTAGTTTATTTGGGGTGTACTGTGGTTGAAGTTCTGACTCCAATGGCCACTGTTTATCAAGTGCTTTCTATGTGCTGAGTACAACTTGAAATATTGCATTTATATGATCGCTAATCCTTTAAACAACTTTGAAAGGTAAGAAGCCCCATGTCCCAGGTGACAAAACAGATTTAGAAAGATCATATAATAACCAAGGCCTCCAGTGAACTAGTGGTAATGCTGAAATCCCAGTCTGTGCCCCAGACCCCTGCCGTTTTCCTTGGTACCACGAGCTTTCACAGAATACCCAGTACCCGTCCTTGAGATTCAGGGCGCCTGCCCACACACCCGCACCCACACAGCAGACACACATAACACAAAACACTCAGACACAACACACTTATAAAACACCCAACACACATATCACCCCCACAAACCCAACACACATACATAACACACAACACACAGAAGCACACACCACACAGGACACGTACAGCACACACATACAACACACAAACATGACACATATCTCCTCACACACACTCACACTTAAACCCATACCCACACTTACATAACACTGAGTACACACACATTCACACTTACACCCACACCTACACACATATAACTCTCTCTCTCTCTCTTTCTCACACACACACACACACACACACACACACACACACACCAACTAAAAACCCTAAATCACCATATTTGCTAGAACAAATAAATCTAGGACAAACTAAATCCTGATCACATTCAAGTAAAAGTTAATCAGAGAGTGGCCTACTGAAGAATAAGGCAGTGGGGTGAGGGGATGCTGATGGGCCTTTATACTATGAGAAGTTCAAGTGTTCTGTGAGAAACGAGGACACCTGTAAGGAAGCCTGTAGGTGCTGAGGCAGGGAAGGAGTATGACAGAAACAGACTGAACCAATCCCTGTATATATGTATGCTGAACCACCTCTATGGATATGGCCCTGGACGAAAACTTCTAGATTAAAAATAATCCAGGGGCGCCTGAGTGGCTCAGTCGGTTAAGCGTCTGCCTTCGGCTCAGGTCATGATCTCACAGATTGTGGGTTCAAGTCCCACGTCGGGTTCAGTGCTGACAGCTCAGAGTCTGGAGCCAGCTTCTGATCCTATCTCTCCCTCTCTCTCTGCCCCTCCCCTGCTTGCAGTCTGCCCCCCCTTTCTCTCTGTCTCTCAAAAATAAACATTAAAAATTAATTTTAATAATCCAGAAAAGAGTCTATAATCTGAGTCATGTAATCTAAACTTGAAGAAAATGTATCTTAATTGGTTGGATTAGAGTCAAAAGAGATCTTGAGCAAGAATACCAAGAAGAAGAATAACGATCACTTATTAAGTACTTTTTATGCACCAGGCTTTGTACTGAGAGCTTTACATAGCTTTTTCAATATCTCAATGTGCCTTTAAAGGAAGGATTAGTATTCTCAGTCTACACAGAATGAAGCCAAGGCACGGAGAAGTTAGGTGATTTGCTCATGGTCACATAGTAAGTAGTCAAGCCTGATATAATCTCAGGTCAGCCTGACTTCAAAGTCAACGCCATATACTACTTACTGTACATCAGAGAAAGAAACATACATGTGAAGCACTTTGCTGGCATCTGGCACATGGTAAACATTCAGTAAATGGTAGCTAGTCCTGCTGAGCATAAAAGGCAGCCATCTAAGCCCAGGAGAATGGAGACTGGAAGAGAATTTTAATAGAGAAGGGGATGTACAGGGAAGCCTAAACCGAATACATATGTCATTGATGTTCATTTATGATAGGCCACCAGTGACTGAGGTGGCTCCTGGGTAAGAAATCGTCCGAGGGAACAGAACCAGGCAGATGGGCTTGACCAAGCAACAAAGCCTCAGTTCGTAGAAGGGAGGCCCAGTGCTGAGTTCAAGTATTGTCTGTTTCCAGACATGCCTCCCGGCCCAGTCGTATGGCTTCATGTCTGTGGCCCATGAAGAAGGTGAGGTCAGGCTATAATTAAAAACTCAGAAACCTCTTCACTCAAGACTCTGTAAAACAGTGAGTCGTGAGTGTCCCCATTCACACAGTCTTGTTGGATTTTATAACGTTTAAACAGAGAAAGACCCACTCTCTTCCTCTGCACGGAATACAGACAAACAGTCACATGTAGACGACTCAGTGCCATTTGGGGCTTGAAAAGTTGCACCCATCAGTTGTAGGGTAGGGAGAGAGACAGAGCCCAAGATGGTGAAGTCCAGAAGGCTGGCTGCGCCCAGCAGCCGCCTCAGTGGTGTCCAGCAGGGGGTGCTAGTGTAGAAGAGGGAGGTGGATGAACCTTTTGTTCAGCAGAATGGCCGCCCAGAGGGACACACTAGGGCGGAGGTGCTTTGTAGAGGTGTGAAGTCAAGAGAGTCCTGGGGCAAAGAGGCACTAATACAGTCTCAAAGAAGAAAAGCCAACTGGCAGAGGTCAAGATGACAAGAGGGTCTGGCCACTATTGAGGTGAGAGAGAGGAAGCCAAAAGAAGACTCAAAACTAAGATTGCAAGTCTCCGCTTCGAGACAGCAAAGATTTGTCTATGGCCATACTGCCGTGAACACACCCAGTCTCGTCTGATCTGGAAGCTAAGCAGGGTCGGGACTGGTTAGTACTTAGAAGGGAGGCAGCAAAGATTTTGAAGCTACTGAAAACATTAGGGAATCTAGGAAGAAGAATCTACTGAACAACCTAAGGATGGGGTTGATGAGTTCTCTTACTGCCAGTGGGGAAGGTGTATAGCTAGAAATAGCTTTCATTTATTTATTCATTTTCTCATTCAGAGAATATTTATTGAGTGCCTTTTCTGTGCCAGAAGCTCTTCTAGATGCTAGGAACACAACATAGAGCAAAACAGATTCCTGCCCCTGTAGAGTTTAGAGTTAATGTGGCAGGAGTGGGGGTGAGGAGAAGATGGGAAGACAGAAAGTAAGTAAATAAACCAATATATATGTTAGGTTAAATATATGAATAAGACACTGAGATGTCAGGGCTGCTGATGTAGATTTGGGAGTTAGTTGTTTCCAACCACTGTCCATATTGGTATCCTCCAAGGAGCTTTTAAAATCATGGATTCCTGAGCCCTACATCTAGAAGTTTGTATTTTTTCATGGTTGTGCCCAGACCCAGAAATGTTTTCAGAGAGCCCCCCGGGGGAGTTGTATCTGGCCCACAGGTTTGGGACCAGTACTGATTTTTGCATCCTGATCCTAAACCAAGCCACAACATCTCTGGAGCAAATGGAGCAAGAGAGCCTAAGAGCTAAGGATGGCATGCTTACCATCCAAGATGCACTGAAAGAATGAGAGACAGGGCTTCTCTGAGATACAGCATGGGGGCACTCCGTGGTGATGGTGGTGGCAGCGGGGATATGGTGAATAAGCCTCTGAAAAATTTTTTTTGGGTTTCCCAGGACTTAACATCGCAATCCGACTTGACATTCATGGTCTTAACAGTGCAAAGCCAGACACTGGCACTCCCAGACCAGACACGTGCACACACGCTCATGCGCACGCACGCACACACACACACACACACAAACACACACACACACAAACACACACACAGCCTGGGTTTAAATTCAGGCTCGGGGCGCCTGGGTGGCTTAGTCGGTTAAGCGTCCGACTTTCGCTTAGGTCATGATCTCACGGTTCGTGGGTTCGGGCCCCGCGTCGGGCTCTGTGCTGACTGCCAGCTCGGAGCCTGGAGCCTGTTTCTGTCTGTGACTCCCTCTCTCTCTGACCCTCCCCTGCTCATGCTGTCTCTCTCTCTCCTAGAAATAAATGAAACATTAAAAAAAAAAAATCCAGGCTCTATTCTCCTCCACATATGTGATCTTGACAAATTGCATACACAAATTGTGCCTTGGGCTCATTATCTGTAAACTAAGCAGAATAATGGTTCTTACCTTAGTAATCCAAGTGAGATTCATAAAGGACTCAACCGAAAGCCATGAGTGCCTGATGGGTGCTGAGCATCCATGTGCTTGCTACTATTACTGTTCTCCTGCGGCCCATCCATTCCCACTTCCTTATAAGCACAACTTCCTGGTTCCTAAAGTATGTAGTAAGTGAAGTCAGAAACCCAGAACCCAGTGTCATTTGAAGCCACTTCTCTGATAGGCCCAGCTTTGTAAAGGACAGTGTGAGGACCCAGACACTGGCTGTGTGGTTGCTGGCCCCCTCCTGCACCCCCCACCCCATCATCCATACCACCCTCTGCCCCGTACAAGAGCAGGGATGAGTAAGAAAAAACCTCCACGCTTCCCTGCCCCTTAAAATCAACATGACCATAAATCTCCTTGGACTGACTGACTATAGTTCCTAACGTGGCCTGTTTTCCTGAGCTCCGAATAGGATGCTGGGATTTCTTTCCCTGAAGTACTGTAAGGAATGTCTTCTGGAATAGAGTGACCTGAAATTAATAGCGATTGATGACAAAAGCCATAGGGACACCAGTGTTAGCTCAGAATGGCCCTCCTTGTGTAACAGCTTATGTAAGATCCAGCTCCTCCCCCCTCCCCAATTAGTCACGGCTGCCCGGGGCCTCAGCACCCTCGGTCACCACCACAGGGCGTCCGCTCTTACGCAATCCCTGTTTCGTTTCAAGGGAACCACTGTTCATCCCTGTGCTTTCTTGGACCACAGCTCTGAACTAGAAAAGAATGGCATTTGGTTTTCTACAAAGCGTTGCGCATTCCAGGCCTCTCAAATCACTTCACGAAAAGAGGTTGGAGCTCAGCAGCCAGGCAGGCTAACACAGCAGCCATTCTGCCCTGACAGCAGACCGTGCGGCCACTTGAATCAAGAGAACAGATGTCTTCCGGGCTCGGGGCTGGCTCCCCGAGCTTTTTATCTGGTCGAGAGTGAGCCGCTCAGCCTGGCTTGCTGGGTACTAGCACCAAGAGTCTGAGGTCTGGGAGACCCCTCTGCTCTGGACAGACCAGGATGGTGGTCACCCTCTGGCTGACAACAAAGTGGGCGGTTCCCAGAGCCTGAGACAAGCCCGGTTCTGAGTGATAACCCTAGGGCCGGTACTTTCAACCTAAATCACAAGGAAGGGGTAAGAGCTGATTGAAGACAGATTAATGGGCTGACCTTTGATTCTGAGTCCTTGTATGCTCGAAATGGTTTCCATCAATCGCCTGTGCTATCAAAACTGGTTCAGTTAAATCCATGCATCCCAGAACACTGAGCTTGCCCCGGTGACATTCGCTTCCTCCCCCAGCCCTGGCAAACCCAGTGGCATGATGACAATCGTACAATTCAGTCTCACACTTTTGATTCCCGCTGCTCCCTGCTCTGGCCAGGACCTCATTTGCCAGACAGGTTTTTTCCTTCCTATCAGTCCTTCTCTGGGTGGTAGAGCTAGGCATCGGCAATGAGTTTCTACCACTTCAACGTATCAGTTAAAACTGTAAAGAACACTCCCGTGTCTTTGCCGGAAAACTCACACCCTCCTTATAGATGGGCCACCCATTGCTACTCGAAGCCAGCATTTAAGGAAACTGTCGTATTTCTGACTGTTACAGGTTGCAAAGAAATTATCCTTGAAGATGAATGAGGTGGACTTCTATGAGCCATTTATGGAGGAACCCATTGCCATCCCTGACAAACCTTACACAGAAGAGGAGCTCGTGGAGTTTGTGAAGGAGCACCAAAGGTACACCAGGCGGCATGCAGGGGCTGCGGGTGGGGATGGGGGTGGTCCAGAGTCTGGGGAGTGAAGAAGAACCTCTCAGTCCTAACATTCTGAGCCTCCCAAGAACAACCATCTGGGGTTACTGCGCCCGCAGAACTGACATCAGTAATATGGCTCTCTTGGTCATTGATCAGTCAGGCAGAGATATTGCTACCTTTTCTGGATATGTGTCTACACCTGCAAACAGGGTTAGACCACCTCCCCACAGCCAGAAAATCCCCCCTAAGTAATAGTAAGATACGAGTCAACTCCTACAATAATAGCAGTGGAGATTTTGTGACAGCCAAATACCAAATACAATGCTAAGTGCTTATGGAAGCCATTTGTCTAATATTCAACATTATGGAGTAACTGGTAGTTTACTAGCAGTAAACTATTTTTCCATATCAAGGAATCGGGCTGCGAGTAGTTACGTAACTCAGCCATGATGAACGTTTTATACACAGAACATCTGGGAGAGGAATATTTGATGCCATTTAGAGTCGTTGTAGCACAGCTCAGCAAACTTTTCGGGTAAAGGGCCAGAGAATAAATATTTCAGGCTCTGTGGTTCAGATGGTTTCTGTTGTAATACTCAGCCCTACTGCTGGAGTATGAAAGCAGCTGTAGACAGTATGTAAACGAATGGGTGTGGCTGTTTCCCCATAAAAGCTTATTTATAAATACAGGAGGCACTGGCTGGATATGCCCACAGCTATAGTTTGCTGACCCCTGCTCTTGAGGGAGGGACAGTAGTGAAACATGGACCATGGCAGTGGGGTCACCGCCTCACCACCCACCTTCCCCAACACATGCTCCCGTATGGTCATTGAACCTGGAACATTATGACTGCACCACTGGGTCGTCCGGATCCCCACAGGGGGGTGGCATTTGGAGGGGCAGATATCAACGTGTCCAGCACTATTTGCCAACATTCAGAAAGACATAAAACCATGAACCAAACGGAGTTTTACCTGTGCTTCTGAAAGATCTCTGAAGAGCTTTTGAAGGATAACCCAGTGATAAGACAATGCAGCCCTGAGCTGGAAAAATGAGGACTTCGGTTTTCTCTCCCAGGTGTCCTCATTCTGGGCCCGTCCTGGGCCCTCAGGAGTGGCCCCTGTCTGTGGGGGAAGGAAATGGCTTTGGCCAAGGGAATGAGCCGACCCTGAGCCCTCTGACCCACTGTTGTAATCCTTGGATCAAAAGGGTCTGTGGAAAGGCTGGGAGCTTCAGGCTCAATTCCCTGTGTGACAGAGCAGGGTACAACAGCTCTGTCTCCTTAGGGGAGGTTTCTAGAGCTCCTCACGCCCTTCATGCCCTTGCAAGTGAGCCAGCACCTCACTGTTCATTTCACTGTACGGAGGCTGCGGTGTCTGCCTTGCCAATCCCTACTCAAAGAAGCTCGTCTCTGTTTTATTTCAGACCCACCCTACGTCGCCTGCGTCCAGAAGATATGTTTGAAACATGGGTAAGAAAGTGGCAAACTCTTTCTGCCTTGTTAGACACCAGTACAGTCCCCATGGGGGGAGTCCCCAAACTTAAACCAAGTTTTATTTTGCCGGAATGGATGTCCGGAGGGTGGTGTCTTTGAAATGTGGATAACATTTAAATTAAGTTCAGTTGAAACCCAGTTCTCCATGGACTCGATTGAAACCCCTTTGGTACCACCCACTAGGCAAGATGACTGCATCTCTGAGTTCATTTCCCACAGCGACTAGTGGCTTCTGTTCACTGGCAGCCAGAGGCCCAGGGTAATATATTGGAAGGAGTTCAGGCTGTAGGGTCATAGAGACTTGTGTTCAAGTCCAGAATCTGCTACCTGGTAGCTCTCCACTCCATCAAGTTACGTTACCCTTCTGAGCTTTAGTTAGCTTCCGCTTCTGAAATCAGGGCTTTTTGTAAGGATGAGCCCAGAACCTGGTAGGTGTTTGGTCAGTCTATGGTAGCTCTTTCATAAATATCAACTCAAGGCACTGGAAAGCACTAAGTCAGATTATCCCGGGTCCATGTCATGGACAGTGTGCCAGGTGGGTTGAAAAGATGTACCAGAAGATGGCCATGGAGGTACACTGCCCCCCCCACCTCAGCTTTATACAAAAATCCATAAACAATAACAACTGAGGTCTGTAGAGCATTTTTCAAAGCGTGTATCCTCTTAACCTGGATGTTTCAACATAATGTCGAACAAGTCGTATTTAAGTCATTTTACACGGGGCAGCGGGTGATCCTATGGATTAAGTTAACTACTCAAGGATCCATAACGAATAAGCATTCGATCTTGGGACTTCAAGTTAGATCATTTGGAGCCAGATCTCCTGTTCTCTTCAGTAGAGTTCCCTAGGGGAAGCCATGTCCCCACAAGGCACCATTTTGTCAGGGGCCATTGGGGGAGGGGAGGAGAATCACCGTGGAAGCCTTTATTTATTTCTTCTTTAATTCAGAGACTAAAGTGGCAGATGAACGGAACCATGGAGTAACATGACACTCTGTTTTACTGGCTGGTAACTTATTTGTACGTCTGAAGGCAGAACAAACAGTTCATAGGACACTAACAAGCGAATACTCTAGTCTAGAGGACTGGCCGGTTTAATCACCACCCAGCTCTTTGGCAACATATTTGCCTAACATTTAAACCTTCCAAAAATTTAACCTTTAAAAGGTCTTGTTACTCGATTTAAAAATGGCAAAAGAGTATGACAGTGCTTTAAAAATAATATTTCTTTAAAAATATGTTTACTTTTTACTTAAAATAATTTCAGACTTACAAAAATTAACATAAAGAATCCCATGCTCTGTTTTCCAGACTCCCCAAATGTTAACATTTTATCTCCTTTGCTTTATCACACACTTCTGGACAGATACAGACTCTCCCCCCCGCCCCGAATTATTTGAGAGTAAGTAGCAGATACAACTCCCCTTTCTCCTCAATACTGCAGATGTTTCACGGAATTTCTCTCATAACCACAGTGTACTTAGCAAAATCAGGAAATTAGTACAATTCTATTTCATCTATGAACCTTATTCAAATTGACCAGTGTCCTACCAGTGCCCTTTATAGCACAAAACATATACATATATTTATTTTTTTCTTTCCTGACTCAGGATCTGATCTTGGATCTCACATCATACTTTGTTCCTATGTTTCTGTGGTTGTCTTTAATCCCAAATAGGCTCTTGGTCTTTGTCTTTCATGACACAAGTTACCATTTTATATTATATTATATTTTATTTTATCTTACTTTATTTGAGAAAAAGAGAGAGAGTGCACATGCACAGGGCAGGGGCAGAGGGAGAGAGAGAACATCTTAAGCAGTCTCCATCCTCAGCACGGACCCCAACTCAGGGCTCGATCACATGACAGTGGGATCATTACCTGAGCTGAAACTGAGAGTCAGATGCTCAACCAACTGAGCCACCCAGGCGCCCCACAAAGTACCATTTTATTTTATTTTTAAAATTATTTTATTTTTTTCAAATGTTTATTTTTGAGAGAGACAGAGCATGAACAGGGAAGGGGTAGAGAGAGAGGGAGACGCAGAATCCGAAGCAGCTCCAGGCTCTGAGCTGACAGCACAGAGCCTGACACAGGGCTTGAACTCACAGTACCGTGAGATCATGACCTGAGCCGAAGTCAGATGCTTAACCGACTGAGCCCCCTAGGTGCCCCCACAAAGTACCATTTTAAGTTGAGAGCAATTATCACTGCTCTGTTCTGCTATGGTCTCTATTCTTAGTTCTTTTTATTTTCTTCATCCCTAAGAGACGTCCTGACTTCAAGCCTTTTTTCGCTGACACAGCATATCACATTCACGACACCATATGCCACAGCACAAGAGCCTGTGCCCTGCCCCACACCACCCAGTAGAAATGCTCCCTCTTGTCATATGAGAGGCAGGTGCTCAGGAAGAGAGTCTACCGTCTGGCTTCCCTGGAAGTCATTTTCTGGTTCCTTTTCACTTAAGGGAAAAGGTAAGTTATAGCCTTTTGCTACAACATAACAAGGATGGCTGATATTTCCCACATTACTGTATATTCAGTTGTTTCCTACTCAGGAAAGGGCTGTGCATTCAACCTGGTAGAGGAAAGGGCAGCTAACGGGTTTCCTTCTATCCTACGCCCCATCGCGAAATACCCGCATGACCTCCCCAGAAGCCATAAACAGACCTAACCAGCCCCAGGCCCCAGCTGGGGAGGGAAGCCAGGACAGACCCTCTAGCATCATCTTCCCGTCCTTAAAGAGGAGGAGTCAGAGGGGTTTCTGGGGAGCCACCCTCCACATGTCTCCCCCATCCACCTTTGCCCACCTAGGAGAGCTCTGCTCCAAAGAACGGCCTCTCCGTGGGCCAGTTGGCTGCAGCAAATTAGACTACAGTTGTTGAGAAAGTGACCAGTTAATGAACGTGGAAGTCCTTAACCCCACCACCCACTTCCCTAGGCATTGCAAAATAAACAAGATGGAAAAACTAAGTCAAGCTAAAGCTACTATTGGCCTTTCTCTGTCCCCAGTTATGCAGGGTTTGAAAGCAGCAAGCCACAAAAACACACAGAATTATTACTAAAGACCTTGGCGGCCAGCAATACTTGCTGTGTAGAAATCGAATAGCTATTTGTGCATTTCACGTATTCAAAGAATAGCAAGGTGGGGCAAGGTGGTCCAGGCTGAGTGCCAACCTGTCCCTGCCTCTTTGACACTTTACCTCCCAGCCGGCTCTCCATCCTGGCAAGTGGCCAGAGTCCTGGGCAAAAGCCCACAGGGATGGCAGTCAGTAGTTGCTTCTACAATGATCCTCTGTCTCTGGCAGTAACAAAGTAGTACTTCTAAAAGGGGGGCCAGAAGTCTCCAGAGAAGCCCCTGGGGCATTCCCTTGCAGCAGGGAGTCTGTAGTTTTAAGTGCACATTTTTTCCTTTGCATCTCTCCACTCAACAAGAGTAATAGACATTCAACAGAACCTAGAAGGAAACAGAGCCAAACAAGAACAGTAGTAATTTATCTGGTTGGTGGGTAACTGATGTTTAGTTTCTTCTTGGAATCTCTAATGTTTTCTACACTTTTCAACTAGTGTTTAGGATTTTGATCGCCATATTCCTTTTTTAAGTTAGTGGGCATTAATAAGAACCTATCACATTATGCTAAGCACAGGGGTTATAAAAACGAGCAGTGCTGTCATTCCTTAGGAGTTCAAGCAAATGAAACAGTCTCAAAACGTACACCAGCCCAGGATGCAGATGCTATGACAGTTGGACATACAAAGTGAAAGAAAATTCAGAGTAAGGTACTCACCAAAGTAATTCTAAATTGCCAGTTCTTTGGGAGATCTGGGGCTCAGTCACCTTACATAAAGGCCCCTTATCTGCCTCCTTTAACTTAAGAGTCACTAATCTTGAGTTTGAAACATGTAGAAAACCTGCAGGGGACAACGGACTCATGGAACCCATTCTGCTGCTATAGGTGATGTCAAGGAAGAAAACCGTTTCCTCTACCCTCTTAGGTTTAGTGCTGGAGGCCTGCAAATTCAGCTGACAAAATACAGATTAGGATGAGCAAAAAACCAGATTTAATGACCGATTTATACATGGAACTTTACAAGGAAATGTGACTCAAGAAGGGGCTTATATGTCATCTTCATTGGAAGTGGAAGAGGCAAGGGGCCCTTCTGGGAGAACAGGTGACTTGTTAGAAGGTTGAGGAGAAAGAGAACTTATGGAAAAACAAATGGCTTTTTTGGGGGGAAAAGAGAAATGGACCCTTGGGGAATGGATGGGAGATTTGCTAGTTTTGTGATAATATCTATCTGAGAAATTAGAGCTACCCTTGGGGAGCAGGTTTATGACAATTGAGTTCTTTTGGGCGGCTCTGTTTCTAGGTAGGTAAGGGATTTCAGGAATATTTCTGCCTTTGGCTCAAAGTAATTTTTATGCCACAGTGGCTTATTCTGGACCCCTTTGGTGAGAAGGTACAAGCATGTGGGGCCACACAGACCTGGCTGGAATCCCAGTCACTTAGGGTAAGTGCTTCAAGAATAGCACTAAGTAGGAATAAGACCTTCATTCAACATTTCAAAATGATGTACTTACGAAGTACTGATACAAAGAATGGCAAGTGGCCCCGGATGGTCTTGTTGCCACATTGTAACCATCGTCAACTTAAGGCACAGTCCCTTCCCTCAGAGGGCTTGCCATCTGGCTGAAAAGGGAACATTGGTTAAAAAGATAGTTTCTGAGGCAAAGCGATCCAAAGACCGAGTGGGTGGTCCAGGGCAAAGGCTGTGGGGTTTGGAGAAAGCCCCTGGGTGCTCTCAGCCCTATGGGAGGTCATCTTCGTCCTTCCTCCCTCGTGCACATTGCATTCAGATTCCTAAGTTTGCCCGTGGATTCTTGCGCTGTGAGTTTATTACTCAAAATATCAGGCACCTGGCATGCACCCACCTCTTTGCGAGCTTGAAGTACAGGGCTGGGTGCTGAATCTTTGAGGCCCACTGGCCCTCTACCCAGGCACCATCTTAGGCCTGGGGAGTGACAGCCGTATCATGAGCAGCCTCTTAGCAAACCAATATAGATTCTTAATTCCAAAACCAATTTCCAAATGCATTCTGGAAGCGCACACAGAATGAAGCCTGCTTCACAGAGTTAATACTGCTCACTTCCACCTGATGGCAGAAGGCAGAGACACAGTGCCGCCTAATGAGAACTGATCAGGATTTTCTGTTTGGCGATAATAGCAAATGTAAAACTGTCGAACCTCAGACTCCCCTTCTGGTCGCTGTCAGTTTTGTGTAATAAACTTGCACACAGACGCGCACCCACACATATATATCTGTAAAATTCAATTCCCCGGGGCATCTGACCAAGCTCGGGCCCACTCTCTCGTTTTTTAACAATAATATTTTCCATTTAATCTCTCTTAGAATTTTTGGAAGTTTTGTCCCTTCCAAACTCAAAGGGAGAGAAAAATTAGCATTTAGATAGGATTGCAGCGGCATTAAAATCAATTGAAACGAGAGCGAGGGATCATGGGAGGGTTGAGATGCCTGGAATTTTTTCTGAGGGACGACTCTGCTGTGATAGCCAGGGTGCCCAGTGATTCCCTTTCATGGGTACTCACTCAGATTTGTCCCCAGTGCCTCTTCCTTCCGCATCTTCCTCTCCATGGATTTTGGGGAATCGCGGTTCTCATCGCAGAGGGTCCTCCAGAGCCCCCGCTCTTCCTTCTGTGGGATGAACTGATGTGAAGGAGATACAGGTGTCTGGCCCTCCCTGCCCAGGACCTAGAAACACGGCGTGCCACTTGCCCACAGATGTGAAACACTGTCTGGAGTCTTGGCCTGGCCCGGCAGCCCGCAGCCACACCCGCTTGTCAGCTTCCGCTAGCCCCCACATCCACTCTTCCCACGGCCTCCCACGCTCGTAGAAATGCGTTACAGGCCTTTACTGTGTGGCCAAGCTGTGGACTCAAGCAGAAGGACCCTGAGGAAGGAAGCTGGAAAGTGACAGTCAGCAAGGCACCCTTGCTGACTACACAGGTTCTTCAACAGGAGGTGCGTTAGTAGAGAAGCCCTACACTTGTATGTGACTCTTGCGTGAACAGAACCCACATCCTCATTTACCTAAGAGTCCTGTCTGCTGCTGGTTTGGGGCCGGCTTCAGGGTCTGTCAGCACCGTTCACAAGTTCCCATAATTTCTGGGTCTGGTGGTGAATTCTGGAAACACAGGCTGACAACCGGTTTCCCGAGCTGGGTGCAGAGTGCGTGCTGCCCTGGGAGCCCCTGGCGAGCCAGACGCATGTTCTTTCCTCCTTTTGCCTTTGACTGCGGCTCTCCTGGACCCGGCCCCTCACGGGAGTGCGGCCCATTCAGTGCGATGTCTCCTGTGTGGTGGGCGTTTTCCTATCTCACGGACCCAGTTATCAAACAGCACGCCGCTTCCTCCCAGCTGCTCCTCAGGATTCCCTTCCGTGTGTGCGCCCCTCTGTCCCCTGGCCCCCGTGTCCGCTGCCCCTCCACCGCCTCCCCACTGCCCACTCCATTCCAGCCTCCCCGGCTGTCCTTGACTTGCTCCTTAGTACTTCTCTCCACCTGGGGTGTAACGTTTGATTCTTTTCTCCTCCAGGAAGATGATTTGAATGGGATCCACATTGTGGCCTTTGCAGAGAGGAGCGACCCAGGTAGGAAGCCCCGACTCCTCCCCTTGCATCTTAAGGGAGATCTGCCTTCTCACCTCTGCCAGCCCGCATTCAGCATTCCTTTCTCCTCCCTCACTTCCTGTGTGCAGGCCACTGCAAGATAGTGGGCACCCCCTGGTGGTCGCCTGCGAGGTGTGAGTTCATTTTCAGTAGTGCTCGAGGCTAAGAGATGTGGACGGATCTGAACCTCTTTCTGTTTGCTTAGCTGGCCAAGCTGGGAGGGAGTGCTGAGTGCTGGGGAGGATATAAAACATCCTAGCTTTACAGGGTGTGTGTGTGTGTGTGTGTGTGCGCGCGCGTGCGCACGCGTGTAGGTGTGTGTGAGAGAGAGAGCAAGAGAGAACTTCTGTTCACATTAAAAGTTTATTTACCAGTGTTGCGATCTAGCCTATATAAATAACAATCCTACATTAAAATTACAACAAATGTACCCTTTCCTTTGGTTTGTAAAATCCTGTCTGTGCTTGGGGAACTTCACAGAAAACATTCCCCCAAATAATGAGAACTGGACAAAACTAGCAGCTAATTTCTAAAGTGCAAAATGACCCTGAGTAACTTTGTTTTATTTTGGAACCTGGATGACTATTTTCTGCCTTCACTCTTTTTTTTTTTAATTAATGTATTTTGAGTTGGGGGTGGGGGCAGAGAGAGGGTGAGAGAGAATCCCAAGCAGCCTCCATGCTGTCTGCACAGAACCCAACTGTGAGATCACGACCTGAGCTGCAACCAAGAGTCAGACGCTTAACTGACTGAGCCACCCACACGCCCCTTGGTTTCACTCTTTTTAACATCAGTGGAGAGTGAACCGCAAGAAGAATCAATATTGCTGGCAGTAAAATGCTAGGTCCCTTTGGCAATGCGCTGTGGGATAAAGGGTCCCCGATGGGAAGGTGTAAGTGGGCATTTGGAAGTGTGTTTGGGGAGACCTCGCAAATCCAGACTGCAAGCAGAGAAGGCAGGGGACTTGCCTTAGGATGGCTAAACAGCCAGGCCTGGGGCCATGGGGTTCCCAGGCAGGGTTCCAAAGCTGCCTGAGCAGAGAACCACAAGCACCAGAGCCACGTGGGGCTGATTATAACAGGACCTTCAGAAACCCATCATTTCACAGAGCTCTGAGGGAGTGTTAATGCACCACTGGGTTTGGGAGTCTCTCCAGATGATGTAGAACCGTGGTATTTACCTGGGGCCTCTGATATCATAGGGACCGGCCAGGACGCTCCAAGGAGCTGAGCCAGCTTCCCAAGAGGGCACAAGGAATTAGTGGTAGGTCATGAGGGACCCAAGCATTGTCTTGGCCATGAATATGTACCTGGTCCTTGTGCAGCAACTTGATGCGTAGTAAGTACTCAGTAGTGGGGAGGGGATCAGATAAGCATAGGACTGACCAGGACTGGGCCCCGAGACTTCACTGCCAGGCTGTTAATACATTATCAGCCTGCATAGTTCTTACGGAAATCTAAATGTTGTTATCATACAATTTTTAATTAAACTTGAGAGATAATCCACACATGACAATATTCACTTTTTTGAAAATATTTTGTGATGTTTATTTATTTTTGAGAGAGAGGGACGGATTGGGAGCCTGGAGGAGCAGAGACAGAGGGAGACACAGGATCCAAATCAGGCTCCAGGCTCTGAACTATCAGCACAGAGCCCGACACGGGGCTTGAACTAATGAACCATGAGATCATGACCTGAGCCAAAGTCGGACGTTCAACCAACTGAGCCACCCAGGCGCCCCTACAGTAGTCACCTTTTTAAAGTGTGTGATTTGGTATAACTTCAGTATATTCACAGAGCTGTGCTCTAATTCCAGAATGTTCTCATGCCTTCAGAAGAAAAGCCCATGCCCATCAGCAGTCACTCCCATTTCTCCTCCCCCAGCCCCTGGCAGCCACTCCTCTCCTTTCTCTCTCCATGGATTTGGTTATTTTCGGCATTTCGTAGAAGTGGAATTATGTAACCTGTGGCCTTTTATGCCTGGCACCTTTCGCTTGGCCTAATGTGTTCGAGGTTCTCCATTATGTAGCATGTATCAGTAATGCACTCCAAACGCTGTTCCACTGTATCAAAACCAAAGTCATTCCTCAGATTACCTGAGGGTCCCCTCCCCTCCCCCTGAATGTTCTCTGATGTCTTAGTTTTCCCATCATTGACTTGCAGAGTCGAAAAAACTCTTCCAGGATATCTAGTCTTTGTCAGAGAAAGAAATGCCAGTACGCTACCTCTCTCCACAGTGTCTGGCTACCCCTCTAACCCCCGGGGAGAAAATAGCAAAGGAAGCCAATTGCCCAGGGTTTAAAGCTACAGTCAAACAGTGTCAGATCCATGGTGCTGTGTGAACAGAGATGGAATTGCCATCAGTGGCAGCCTGCTGGCCAGACTCCTGTTGGGGGAGGGGTTAGGGTGGAGAGGCTTCCTCTCCCCCCCAACTCCACCCCACCTGCCCCCTCCCTCCCTTCCCCCTGCCCCACCTGCCCCCTTCGAGGGTTGTGGGGAAGCCTGTCTCTCTCTCTGGAACAATGGAACAAAGAGGCCTCCAAGAAGTTGCAGGAACCTGTTTGACGGAGATTGCTGCTGTAATGAATCAACCTCCTGAAACTGCTTCCACCCCCTCCCTGCACAAATATCCCTGGGCCCGAAGTGGTTTCTCTCCCCAGAGGAGCCCAAGCTGGGGCTTGTTACTGAGAAGTGGGAAGAAAGAGGGGGCGTGGGGGCTCAGAACAGACCTTTTCATCAGGGAAGGGCCTGGCCCACTCAGGGATAGGAAAGGGAAAGGCTTTTTTGCCAAAGTCAGACTCTGTGGCTAGTCAGTCATTATCCGAAGGTCGTTGATGTGTAACCCGTGGCTGAGGGGCCTGGCGGCTGGACTGGGAGTTTCATTCCTGCCCAGACAGCACTTCCTCATTTCCTTTGCTCTTGCTAACAAGCTGTACATGGCCGTTGCCCCAACCAAACCCTCACCCACTGGCCAGAGAAAGGCCATACGTCCAGGAAGTGCATATGGTTCTCCTGAGAGAGCTGACTGTCGTGAGGAAATGTGCTGTGTGGAGAGGACCTTGTCTGGTCCTTAAGCCACTCTGGGATATATGTGTGATTATTGGCAGCACAGCTCCGATGAGAAAAGTGGGTTTTAGAAGCTAAATGACCCAAGGCACTTGCTGTGCTTAAGCCAAGATTCAAATGCCAGCAGGCTTTCTTGACCTCTGAATTCGTCCTGATTGTGAAGATGGTTATGATCACTTGTCTGCTTAGGCTGCAGAGCCCATGTGGGCGTTCCTCATTTTATTCCCATTTTACAACGGAGGCAGCCGAGGCCAAGGGAGGGTGACCTGCGGGGGGGTGGGGGTGGGAAGCAGAGCAGGAATGAAGCAGAGGGCTGTCTGGCTTCCTGTAAAGGGAGGCCTTGCGCAGACTTGGGGACGCCCCCGTTTACTACCTCCGATGACCTCCAGGGACCATTCAGCCCTCCCTCCCACCTCTCTGTTGCCCTTCACCAACCCCTCCACCTCCACCATGTGAAAGACCCCAAGAAGTTCCATAGTGTGCTTGTGATCACGCGGCCAGAGGCCTAGCGCATTGCCGGCTGTTTGGACACGGTGCCGCTGAGCTCACTGCCTGCCCGGCAGGCGGCTTGGCCCTAGATGGGCTCTGAGCATGCACGGTGCCGCTGCACAGCTGCAATGGGGAGGGGGACGGGGGGTTGGCAAGGAGAGCAGGAGAAAGGGGGAAGTGAGAGGAGAGCGCCAATTAAGGGAGGGAAGTCAGCCGTCGCCCCCGCTGTGCACTGATGTTCCCGGAATTGGAATACAGCCGGCCATCCTAGTGACCTGGGCCCCCAGGTGCTCTTCTCCAGCCGGGAGCTTGGTCCCCAGACTGCAGTGCCTGTTCTCTGGGCCCTGGAAGGACGCATCCAGCGCTCTGCTCTCGCCCCAGGGCCTGTGTGCTGCTCGGTCCCCCTCTTCCTCCAGAGCCTCTCCCGCTCCTGCGCTCAGGAGCCCCCTCCCCCTGCCCCAGCCGCAGTTGGACAGGTTTGAAAATGAATGCCTCCCCTCTGCCGCCCCCAGATGTGTCTGCATCCGGCTGACATCTTCTTTATAACACCTGCTGAAAGGTTCGCAGCCTGGCGTTTCTACATGAGCGCATGCTGGACGGATATCCTCCAAGGGCCCAGGGAACGTTGGCACTAACAAGCCGGAAACGCAAGGACTGGCTGCTGTGTGCGCGTGCGTGCAGTGGCCCGGGGAATGACCGTCTCCAAGCACCGTTTCAACCGGATTGCAACCACCTGGGTTCTTATAAAATGATTTTGAGACCGATAGTCTCCAGTGGGAGTGCTGACTGCGTGTTTGAGCTCCCACATGTAAATCTGATTTATAGAACTTACATTTCGGGTTCTTGCTAAGTGCTACCTGTGCATGTAATCTCCACAACAACTCTGCACGAGGTATGGTCCTTATCATCGTCCCTGATGTACAGATGAGGAAACAAAGGTATAGAGAACTTAAATAATGTCACCAGGTCACATAGCTAACAAGTAGTAGAGCTGGGGCTCAAACCCAGGCCCCCCGTCCCTGGGCTTGGCTCTGAGATACACAGGTCTCTGCCAGACAGGGCCCTGGCTCCTGTCACCGCCAGGACTGGCCTGGTACTGGTCCCCCAGGGCTTGGTGCAGCCTCATTCCCACCAGATCCTCCCTGCCTGGGAGGAGGAGAGCATAATCACCAGTCTCCCCTCCCATAGAGCTGGGATTCCCAGAGGCCTCTTGCTTGCCGTGGGAAAGCTGGGGCCACGGGAGCCCTCAGTCCTGGGTCACGGGACTTGAGATTCCAGGCCCGTGTGGCAGGGAGGGAGTCACAGTTCTCACAGCGCCAGGTCCCTCTTCTTTGTTTAGGTCCATCTCTGAGACTCCAGTCACACTCAGGGACATGGCTGAGTTGGCCAACCAGACACACTGGGGCTGGGAGGCGGAGGTGGCCCTGTCCAACGGCCCCAGAGGACGCCGCCCTCATGCTGTTTTCTGGAGCCCCTTGCTTCCTTACTGTGGAAGCTTTCGCACTCAGCTCACACATCTCAGGCACACCTTTGAGGAAGGAAGATGGCAACAGCTTTGGTCGGCGTGCTGAGGCCTCAGAGGGGAGACGAGCATGGCAATGGCTCTAGACATGCAGACCAGACACCTGAGTTAGTCCCGGTTCTGCCACTTGCTCTCAGGGGACGCCGGGTGAGCCACACACTCTCCCTGCGTCTCAGTTCCATCCTCTTTAAAATGGAGATAATTAAAACTTCCCAACCCCATCAGCACCAGATGTGAAGATTAAACGTGGAGACTAGTCCTGTAGTTTTGGTGCCTAAGTAACTACCAGTCCCCAAATCACAGAATAATGTTCCCTCCTTTTCTTTAATCTAGGCTTTTTTTTTTTTTTTTTTTTTTTAAATTACGGACTATTCCTTCTGAAAGATACATGGGGTCGCCTGAGTGGCTCAGCCAGTTAAGCATCCAACTCTTGATTTTGGTCATAATGTCACAGTTGTGAGATTGAGGCCCCCGAAAGCTCTGCTCTGAGAGATTCTCTCTCCCTCTGCCCCTCCCCCATGTACACATATGCACACTGCACTCTCCCTCTCTCTCTGTCAAAAAAAAAAAAAAGAATGAAAGATACATGACCACAATCTTATAAGGCCTCTAAGTTTAGTGCATCACTGATGAAGGACACATTTGCTCATTTCAAATCCATCCTTCATTCACGTGATTCTAATTGTGGACTCACCTTGTGGTTTACGTGGAAGAACAAAAGTGAAATACGGCTTCCTATACCTGCCTTCCTGGTCAGAAAGGGAGGGTCCATAGTGGCCGTTTCCCTTTTCCAAGACACCTGCGTGGACAGCTGTTTTACAAAGAAAACAGAAGCTCTCCCTAAGAGGAAATTGAGCTTGTAACTTACAATTTTAGCAACTAAATGCCTGCGAGACCCATGTAGCTACCTTAACCCAGCTTTCCCAGATGCATGAGAATCCATCCCAGCAGGTCTACATTCAAGGCTGGGAATAAAGGGGAGACAATGTGTCTATCAGGAGAATCCAAGTTAGCTTAATGACTTTAAAACAAAGGAGTTAAACCTTGCTCTAACCCATGTATCATAGTTACACCCGCTGGCACAGCCACCCTGAAGCCTTCAGTCATGGAATCGTTAACAGCAGCCAGAAGGAGCCACCCCATGGCATATTGTCTCTGGTGTAACTTCCTATCAGCTGGTCTTGTCTACTGCACAGCGCCAACACTGGATCCAACCCACCACTTGTGCCCCGATCATTGTAGTTATTACTGCTGCATTGAATGGAGAGATGAATGGTTAGGTTCCTTGTCTTCAAGCAGAAGGATCTGGATGATTTAGGAACAATGGCTAAAGCTTTCTATATGCCAGGCACCATCTCAGTGCTGGGTATGAACTCAGCTCAGGGAAGAACTCATTTAACCTACAACCACCCTATGAAACAGGTACTATTATTATCATCATCCCACTTTTACAGATGAGGTACCAAGACTTAAGTAACTCGCCCTGAGTCACACTCAAAATGGCAGAACCAGGATTTGAACCAGGGTCGTTTGCCCCAAGGGTCCATGTGTTTAAGCATCGTGCCAGGCTCCTTCTGCCTGTTCTGTTCTTGAAAATATCCAGGGAGGAGAAGGATTATGACCAGGATGGAATTCATCATCCTGAAAGTCCAAACCTGCCCTTAGATCTGGATGAGGTTTCTCTTGCTTTAATGTCAACCTCATTTATCTTTTTATTCTGTGAATGTTTTCTGAGATTTCCTTACTCCTCTATAGATGCAAAAACGTTGTATATTCCTACAAATGAGCATTAAGCCAAAATTTTCACTTTTCTCGTTTATGTTAAAACTCCAGTCCCTTTGATTTTTCTTGCAGAACTCAATTTTTATTCCTTCACTCTTTTTATTTTTATCTCCCAGCCTGCTCTAGCATGTAGAGGGGAATAGGTTCCTGTACATGGCATTCCTTTTTATTAATTCCAACATTCTGTGGGCTTTTCCATCAGAAAACTCCAGTGCTAGCTTGTGTTCCATCAGAGCTCTGATGGCACCCTTGCCCCCCCGATGACACCCTTGCCCCCCCTCTGCAATGCAGTGTCGAATTGGCTTCTCCTCTCCCTTTGCGCAAGTTCATCTATTATATCTCGAATTTAGTTTCTACTTGAATCGGAGCCTGTCATTGAATTTCATCCTCTTTGTGAATTTCTGATTTGTCAAGTTCACTTTTTATTTAAAAAAATGTTTATTTTGAGAGAGAGCAAGAGAGAGTGAGTGGGGGGGGGAGGGGCAGAAAGAGGGAGAGAGAGAATCCCAAGTAGACTCTGTGCTATCAGCAGGGAGCCCCAGGTGGGGCTCGATCCCACAAACCGTGAGATCACAACCTGAGCCGAAATCAAGAGTCAGACACTTAATCGACTGAGCCACCCAGGTGTGCCTCAAATTCACTTTTAAATTTGATTCTTCCCTTCCAGACTACTTCCTTCTGGCTGCTGACAGTAGTCATGGAAAGTGTGTTTGGAGAATTCCCCTTGTCGTCTGCGTATTATGAAACATAACCCGCAGATCCCCTGTTCTGTGGCGGAGTTCTGTCCCCAGAGAAGGGAGACATGATGTTCAGATAACAGGGAACAGATCTGTGCGACAGAACTGGGAATCTGTGGGTTTTGTATCATAAGACGCAGTGCTCCACCTTCTCAGCCACTCCTCCAGGCACCAGGAGTATATCCCCCAAACCCGACTGCCTCCCATCCCCACGATGACCATGCACTCTAAAGCCTGTGGCCCTGTTCCTCACAAAGGTCTGTCGTAGAAGGGAACAAGTGATCTATAGGTTTCCCTCGCTAACCGGACATTCGCGTTGCATCCCTTTGCTTTTACGAAAGCCCTACGTTAGTACCTGCTTTTGCTAATGAAAAGAAATCCGAAGAGGATTTGGGATTTTATGAAATGTTATTGCTTCTTCGCTTTACAACACTTTGGTTCATAGGAACGTTCTACTTTTGGATATCAAGGGAAACCTGTAATTCAGAAACTAGAGGGAAGAATCCACCCAGGCAGAGCGTATCTCTGCCGGAAGGGGCTGCAGCTTCCTGTCTCCTAGCAGTGACTGCTTTCCAGGTAGCAAGGTCTGAGGGTACCCAGTCTGAATCCAACAGTTAGCACTGTTAGTGGCCATGTAAGTGAGGACCCCGGCCCAGAGCTGAGTGACTGAGGATGGCATTTTGCCTGGAATGTACTGGAGATGAGGAAGGGCGGAGGAGAATCTTTACCAGGAGGCCTCCCAGTAGCCAAGCAAAGGCTAGAGCTCCCAGAGAGAGGCGAGGCTTGTCAAACAGAGGAGAGCTCAAGGTGCCTGCGACCTGAGCACAAGAAGAAACCTGTACAAAGAAAGTGCAGTTAGCAGACTGAATAGGAGATGGTGGCGAGTTGCTTGTAGGGAGGGTGTACATTTCAGGCCACACACATCAATCAGCTAGGCCAGACATGGGACTTGATTGTCTGGAACCAAACCTGCCTTGTACCCAGTGGGAACTGGGTCTGATCATAGATGCCCCTGCCCCGCAGCCCTCACCCCACCATCCCTCAAGGTCCGGTGTCTTATTCATGTGGTCTGTGTCGGCTGCGGTCGCATGTGGTCACTAGCCCTTGTTCTCAGCAGATCATGCTGGTCCTGTGTCCCAGCTGTGACGTCGTCCATGTCCCTCAGAGCCACAGAGAACTCGGTGGGGCCTCCGGACCTTTTCTGCCCCCGTGCTCCTGCACTGAGGGGTTGTCCGGGAACTTCTGGGGCCTTCCCATTGTCCTGAGTTTCATTCTGAAACCAGGCCTGGGGCCCCTGTGCTCTGAGGTTCCCCGGAACTGTTGAGCTACTGTGTGTGGACACACATGTACACACCGGCATACATCCATGCACACACACACACACGCGCAGACACACGCACACACACAGGCACAGAGCTCATTCTCAGGGACTTTCCAGAGTCTCAACTCTTTGTTTCTAGTTGGGAGAGGGGCAGGGATGCTGAGGGGTTAGGGTGCACTTTCTTTTACTAAACATCCGTCCCAAATGTTTTGTTTTCTGGTATAAATTTTATGCTCCCAGTCCTTAAAAGTTTAGGCTTAATTTTTTTTTCATTACAAAAAAATTGCGTTCTTGAGGCTCACAAGGCTTGTCTCTGCTTTTCTTATGAATCATCCCTCCCCTGGGGGCAATGAATGCTGCTGCCTGGATGGGGGCAGGCAGAGCCTACAAGGAAATGGTGAGGGAGGAAGGGAAATCCTATTTACTATCTCAAGGCTGTGACACCAGCTGTAAATCAGAAGTGTAGTTTGAAAGTTTCAGAAATTCCAGGTTGTAGAAAACTAAGCATCCAGGCTACATTTCCTTGATATGTAGAGCTCACGGATAGCAAACTACTGGGCACCGAGGGCCAGGCAGGGCTCCTCTGACCTGGGATTGCACTTGCTGACTCAAGGCTGGTCACTTGTCACATGCAGATTAGCAAACGAAGCCCAGCTTTGAGCTAAGAAGCAGCTACTTCCCTGTGAACTTTTCTTTTTTTTTTTATTTAAAATTTTTATTGTTTCCTTTGAGTAAGCTGTGTTGCCGCCAGAGTGCTCATCTGACTCATTTTATAGAATAATCCTGTAATTGAGGGCATGCACCAAATAGGCCTCAGAAACCATCCTGGATAAGCTGCACCCCCCCCCCACCCCCCGCCCGCTTCCTGTAGGAAGTCATGTCTGTGCAGGGGTTACTCAGCTCTCTTGAATCCTGCTTCAGATGGTTACGAGTTCCTGGAAATCCTGAAACAGGTCGCCAGGGACAACACGGACAACCCTGACCTCAGCATCGTGTGGATCGACCCGGACGACTTTCCCCTGGTGAGTGGCTCAGAGCCGGGCACCTCCGGCGGTCCCCTTCACAGCCTCGCGCTCGTGTTCAGTGTGAGCCCCAGGAGCGGGGAGGAGGGTGCGAAACAGGAGGAGCACTTGCACAGGCACGGTGACCACCCCATCCAGTGTGGGGGACCTTGGCCACTGGGGCAACACTGAACTTCGCATGAGGTGGTTAGACCCAGCATTCACCTCCCTGGAGACCGGGGGTGCCTCTGAGCCACGCACGCGCATGACCGGGTGAAGTTCTTCCACTAGTGCATCCATTGCTGTCCCTCCCCCTCCCACCACCTCCCTTGCTATAGCCTCTTTCGTGCTATGGGGGAGGGGGATGGCATTCCAAGGCAACCTGGATGACTAAGTGATTAAAATCAGACTCGAACAATTTGCAGAGTTAAGAACCTCATGGAGAGAAGGAGCAACCTCTGCGAGGGCAGAGGCCCTCTGTCATGTCCATTGTGTTCTCCCAGGTCCTTGCCTCCTGTCTAGCACATGTTGACTGTGTAAGAAAATTAAAGTCCAAACTCTTGCGAGTGTCCATGATCAACAGCCGGAAAGCCTTGATTATGCCGATTTTTATTTTTTAAATTTGTTTTAGAGAGAGAGAGGCAGAGGGAAAGAGAGAGAATCCCAAGCAGGCTCCATGCTCAGCAAGGAGCCTGATGGGTGCTCAATCTCATGACCCTGGGATCATGACCTGAGCCGATTTTTAAAAATTTTATTTGAGAAAGAGAGGATTATGCTTATTTTTAAAGAGGATAATAAACAGAATGCGTACAACATGCGAGACAGTGGTAGTGATAATGGATGTAGCTGATATACTCTACTGTATGCTTGGAACTATAGTAAATTCTTCACAGGCACCATCTCATCTAATCCTCCTGACACCCTTATGAGGTAGGGACTATCCTAATCCCTATCTGACAGATGAAAAGAATAGCTGTCTGCGAGGTTAACGCTACTAAGTGGTAGACGTGATATCCTGACACAGGACTATGTGATACCAGAGTTTTGCCTGCTAGTCAATGGACTTTAAGTTGAGCTAGCTGCTGGTAATCAGTACACGTTTAGTTGTCATTAGATTATAAACAATAATCCATCTTTGTCCAGGAATTCTCATTTGTTGCATAGGACACAACGGATCATACCATGATTAAATAGTCAAAGTGGTGGGGCCTTAATGAGTTCAAGAGTCCTAATACCCAATTCTACAAACAGAATAAGTGAATCGAAGGCAGAGACTCTCCTGGCACCTGAGGCCAGTGTCGTCATTCTGGGTGATCGTAACAGAGTCATGGCCTCATAAGATCCTATTTATTATAACATTTTTTAGTTAGCCTCTGCCAGACTGGGGTCCTGGTTTGCCTGGACTGTTTTGTTACGCCAGCTTGCAGGTGGTCTGCCACTCTCCCCACCTGCCCTAAGTGTTTGTTTGCCTTGGTTTTCACAAAGGAGAGATCTTTAGGCTATGCTGATCTCCAGGTTCCTGACTATCCTTGGTCCCCATCAGGCTTATATTTGCCTTGGAGACTTTCTGCCACTGAACACTTGCACCATCTTAGCCCCATGGCCCTGGACTCCTTTAGTCCCGCCCCAGTCAGAGATCGGTCCATGTGGATCCCAAGCTGGGCAAAGCACCGCCCCCCCCTTTACTTGGATGGCCCTTCACTACCCTCTGTCTTATGGATCAATGGATCAGAGTAATGCAAGGTAAAGGATTTGTAAATGGGACATTGAAAGGAGTGGAGGAAAATGGCACTCTGGCCACACATAAACTATAAAAGAGCCAAAAGTAATTTGGGAATCAGCGTCAGACCATCTCTGTAATAGTCTTCCTTACAGCTGTAGAAGATTTTATATTACACGTTTCCATAGTTTGTGTTATGACTTTTTCCTTGTACTTATTTAAAGTGCTTGGGGGCTGAGGCTGAGTCTTCAAGTTCCAAAGTGCCCACAGATGTTTTGGAGACCTTTCATCAATGGTGACCTATGATGATGGGGTGGCTTTAACAGGGAATGTCCTCAGTCTGCTGTCTAATCTCATTGGGTTTTTTTGTTTGTTTGTTTGTTTGTTTTGTTTTTCTTTTGTCTTCAGCTTGTTGCCTATTGGGAAAAGACTTTCAAGATTGATCTATTCAAGCCACAGATCGGGGTGGTGAATGTGACAGATGTGAGTATACCCCATGAAAGCTTGCTCAGACACCCTCAGCCTGTCCTGTCCAGACTGGGCCACCAGGTATAGGAGTGTAGCCTGTCCTGAAGTGGAAAATTTGTCAGGGTGGCCCACGCCTAGCGCCCGAGCCCGTCTTAAGCCATGGTTTTATGATTCTCTTCCATGGGCACGTCCTCGGAGATGTATGGCCATGTTTTCTTGCTTACGGGGCCAGCTGTCCTGTTTTACTATTTGGAACTTTGTCCACCCAAGTAAACTGTCCTGTATGTTCTCCCAAAGCCTGACAACAAACTCTTTTAATGCAAAGGAGCCCACACATGACGCTTCCATCGCACAGCAGGTGATGGGCAAGGGGCTGCAGGAGAGCAGGAGGAAGACCATGTTGGACGGGGGCCTCTCCTTACCACGCAGGTGCCATTGACCTGAGGGCGGGGAGGGAAGCTGGAGTGGCCAACCGGCAGAGCACGAGGAACTCTAGATCTCCATCCAGACGTCAGATACAACCCCACCATACAAAAACAGAACGGGGCACAGATACAACAGATAACGGGCAAATGATAGACAGAAAGAAATGGTCACAGAGAAGTTTTTGGAGCCCTAATTAATGGTGCTGGAAATGCTTGCGATTGGGGGCCAGTGAGCAATGTCCTTTTATCCTGTTATCTGATCACCTGGGGAATTCTACATTTATTTTCTAAACTGCTTTTTAAGTTGATAATCATAAATACGTTTTAAAACTTGCTCAAGGTAAAACATTTTTAAGTAAAACAGTAGACGATAAGGTGAAAAGCAAAAGCCTTTCCCACTGCCCTGACCCCATTCCTTTTCCCATTCCCTGAGGGACCCATTAGTGGTTTCATGGCTGTCCTACCAGAAATGTCATATATGTGTTTGTTCTTATTAAACAGGTGTCTTGTGGATATGCTCATGTAGTCAGAGGAGGGAGAAACAGTGCAAATATCATTACAATCCATAATAATACTTGATTTCAGTACCCTGGGAACCGCCCCAGACCTGGGCTGCCTCCCAGCCCCCAGCACTTTCCAGAATGCTTGGGATAAGGAGGCAGGCAGGGTAGGGTGGGGAGGGAGGAACTGCTCCAGGGTGGGGAAGCGAGGCAGAAACTTGGGGTGTGGTGGGGGGAGGAGGTTGAGGGGGCTGCCGGTCTCAGCATGCTGGGCCCCACCCATTCCCCTGCCAACCCTCCACAACCTGGCCTCTGTCTCAGAAACCTTTCTGCACAAACTACACACACACACACACACACACACACACACACACCTCCTTTTATCTTGCACAAGTGCGACACTACCCAGAGCGCTCTGCATCGAGGCTTTTGCATGGAGTGGTGTGCACATGCCTGGTCACAGAGCCAGGCTGCTTGGGCCCCTCTGGTCTGGCTCGTCCTTCCTGCACTCACTCACTGGGCCCCTCGCTGCAGGCGGACAGCGTCTGGATGGAGATCCCTGACGACGACGACCTGCCCACGGCCGAGGAGCTGGAAGACTGGATCGAGGATGTGCTTTCCGGGAAGATAAACACTGAAGACGATGACATTGAGGATGATGATGACCAGGACGATGACGATGATGACAATTCCGATGAGGACGACGACGACAGTGATGATGATGATGAGTAGCCCCCGCCCCGCTCTGGATGACGGATGAGAGCAAAATCACAGCTGCACACGACCATGCGGACAGCACACAGCCCTGGCGCCCCCCCTCCCCCCTCCTCCGGAGCTGTAGCACTCAGCACAGGCCTCTAAACCCAGGAACCCCACTCAGCAGGGACAAGTGGGGGCATTATTGCTGTATGGACTGTCTCGATGGTCTTGGACAAGCTCTCCTTCCCCACCAGACCGTCAATGGTCCTGGCAGTGCCGGAATCCGGTGGGCGGGGGGAGAACAGTCCCCTGACACTGCGACTCATGTTTACCTGTTGTCTTTGACGGGACAGTAACACAGTGGACAGTGGGCAGACTCAAAGCATGGAGTGACCTGACAGTCAGAGCCCAGGGAGCCCTGCAAGGAAGCCAGTTGGCCCCCGTGCCTGGAACATCAGCAAGGATCCCTCCTCAAGGCAAGAGGTTCTCTCTTGGGAAGGCTCAGCCTTAGAAACGAGCTTATAAGTCAGGTTCTCTTGGCTCTGTTAAACTTACTATTTCAAGTGTAGGTGACAGCATGATGAGCTTAGATCCAGGGGCCTGGATAGCAACCGGGAGGCCTTGAAACACCTACGTACAGATGGCACCATCATTTCTAGTACGCTAGGATGTGGGATGGGAGGCTGATTTGCTTTCTGAACTTCCCTTTAGGGACAGATCTTCCAGTATGCATGAGGGGGCAGAGGAACTGGAAGCATTACAAGTTTTTAATGTTTTCTTCCGGGTTCATGCCCCTGATTGAGTCAGCTGGCTTCCTAGCCTGAGCAGGCATCTGGATACCCTTCTCTGCTCGTGAGCCCTCCCGTGGGGAGAGAAAGTTGGCTTATCCAGAGGTCAACCAAGGCTCCATTTGTCAACCCTCCTACACTGGCACAGGACAATAGCTAGAGTTCATAAGGGTGCCCTCAGGCACTGAGAGAATCCCAAAGTGCCTTCAAAACTATGTAGAAGTTACATTGTGCTCGGTCGTTTCAGCATTAAGTGTGCATTATAACGTTCTAATTTATTTTCTCGATCTTTTAACACATGTGTAAGACACTGTGCAAATGCTTTGGAAATAGGGTAAATCCTTTAATGGAATAGTAGTCAACTAACTCTGTCATTAAACTTATACTTTGAAAATATTGAGACTATCTTCGAAATCCTCTCTCGGTTTTCCTGATCCTGCTCATTCTTTCTTGGTTCCTGTCCTACCTCTCTGTTCCTTCTGTTTTCCTTTCCGGCCCCTCTTCCTCTGCCTGCCCTTTAAATGATGGTGTTTCACAGAATCTCCTGACTCTAACTTTCTTCCAAGCTAGTATCATCCATGCCCATCAGCTACCACCTGTGTGCTCATGACCTCTACGTCTGGGTCTCTAACCTTGACCACTCTCTTAGCTTTAGACCCACTCATTCATCTTGGTTTGGATGTTGCACAAGCAATTCAAATGATGTAGCAAAACCCCAGCTCATTACCTTCTCCCCTAAACTCCTCCTCCTCCTCTTCATGGAGTCCCGATTGGAAGAGTGGTATCATCACGTGTCCAGTTGTCTAGGGGATCTGAAGGGCCGCCTTCCCCTCCGCAACCATGGAATTTTCTTCATACCCCAAACCACGGAAATGGTCCTTGACCGTAATACATGGGGACATCTGGGGGGCTCAGTCGAGCATCTGACTCCCGGTTTTGGCTCTGGTTCATGGTTCGAGCCCCACACTGGGCTCTGTGCTGACAGTGCAGTGCCTGCTTGGGATGCTGTCTCTTTCCCTCTCTCTCTGCCCTCCCTGTGCTCCCTCTCTCTCTGTCTCTCTCAACAAATAAACTTTAAAAAAATGTTTAAATTGTAACACATATTTACATGCCTGTCCTTTCACTAAATTGTAGGCTTCTGGGAGGCAAGGGCTTTATTTGCCTTTGTATCTTCAGTCCAGCGCAAAACACATACTCATTTCTTGAAGTGGTGGGCCAATGATTGATTAATCAGAATACCTATAATTCCGCAGCACTGTTGGCTAACAATGCTGACAAAGCCTCCTTCTTTTTATTCCCCCCCCCACCCCCCTTCACAAAGCAAGGCAGAGGCTTCCCAAGCTGGACTGTACTGGGATCCGGCCAGACCCAGCCGCACCTCTAATAAGCTCTTGGGGAGGTACATTTTCAAAGCAATCTTTGAAGCTAATCTTTCAAGTAGCCAAGGAATGTGGTCTGTCATGAAAGTGGCCTGTGCTCCAGCCCAGGAAAAATTCCTTGTTCCCGGGGGCCTGAGTAATATGCTCTGAGTCTAAATCATGTCGTGGTACTCCCAGAAGCACGGAGTATTAAGCTAGTGCTATCTGTAAGTAGTAGTGTTATTTAGCTATTGGTCTAAAACTTCTTGCGCTGGTATTTATTGAATGTTTGGTATGTGCCTAGAGCACTGTGCTCTGTGCTTGACATGTATTATGTCATTTCATCCTTACAAAGTTTTTATAAGCCTTACTGTTATCCCCATTTTACCAATGAGGAAACTAAGAGGGCCCAAGTAATTTTCCCAGGGCCACACAAACGCTTTAAAGGAGTAACAGTATACCTTCATTTTTATACTTAAATCAAGGATTTAAACTAAATCAAATTCCTTAAATTAAGCAATCAAAGGATCCCAGTTCTTTTCCTTGGATAGTGTCCTGAGATGGATGCAAGTGAATTTCCCATAATCCTTTTCACTGCTTAAGCCAAGATATTCTTTCTCTGGAGGCCGTACTCAACTTATCCCCTCCTGGAAATGGAGGTTAATTAGAACTGCAAGTTCTGGCCATCCTGTTGGAGAAAACATTCATTGTGTTATCAAGAATGCACAATCATTTTCGGTGTATTTTTAAAAATAACACCTCAGAGCTAGAAATGAGCCTTATCCGTTCCATAATAAGGCTGTGTCCTGTCTAGGGCTCTCGTTTGTATAATGCGGGAAGCCCATACTAGTCATGTCACTTGTCATAGATCATTACCAAGTAGCTTTTGATAATGATCCTGATATACGCAGACACACTCGCCCCTCGAAAGTGCTGGTGGGTCCTGGGGCTCTGCCTTCCAACTTCCCACTCCCACCATGGATTCTCGACCCTGCTCAGTGAGCATCAGGGTATCATCCTCCAAGCTTATTTAGAAAACGCAGATGCCTGTCTCGAGCCCAGACAACCTGAGATCCCATCACAGAACTGGGGACTGACCATCTACATCTTAGAGTCACCAGGGCCGACACAAGCCAAAGCTGGGAACCACAGCCTGTCCACCCCCCCAGGGGATCTTGCTCCGCCCGTGGTTACCAACATCACTTGTCTCTAGCCAGGCTCTCCTGTTTCCACACCCCTCACGCCAGCTGTCTCTCTTGGACCAGCTTCATCGGGAGGTACCTTAGGCACCTGAGACTAACACAGCTTTGGGGCTTTAAAGATCTCCCCCAAATTAGGTCAAGAAGTCAGGAGTGCAATGTTAATAATTAATAATAATTAATAATCACCATTATTACGAAGAGCAGCAATTTGGAGACTAGAGTTGAGGAGAATGGGCTTCCCAGCTTCCTGCCTCCAACTGTAGGCCACCCAAGGGAGTCAGACTTGTAGAGAGGACAAAGGCCATTGCCTTCCAGTGGGTGAGGATGGAGGGGAGGAGGAAAAACCCAGGCCTTCCACACTGCCTTCACCCCCAAGAACTTCACCCCAAGAAATCTGGACAAAGGGCTGTTACCCACTAACCAGGTAACCCGTTCTACCTCAGAACAGGAGTAAGGTTTAGGCAAAAGGCCGGCAGCATTTAGGGCAAGATCCTTCTTCATAGAAAGGGAGGAGTGGGGAAGAGGTATCCCCCTCTGGTAGTGCCCAAGCCAGAAATCTTAGAGCCATTCCATTGCATCCTGCTTCCGCATCGACTAGGGAGCCAGTCCTGGGCTCTCCTCTGCACCCACCCCGATGCGTGACCAGAGCTTTATAAGCTCTCACCTGGGTGGTAGCAAAGTTCCCACGGTGCTCCCATCTCCAACCCAGCCTCCGCGCTGTGATCAAGTGATCTTTCTAAAATGAAAAAACTGATCATGTCACACACACGCATACAATTCAGTGGCTCTCTATTTCCAGGAGGTGTTAAAAAAATTTTTTTTTTCAGACGAAGAGGCCAAAGAGCGAGCTATGAATGGAAAGGTTGATGACTGCAAATGCAGAGCTGGGCTGTGTGGTGAGAGGCTGGGGAGGGGACACGGGGTGGGTCTTGTAAAACCCAAAGTCCCTGATGTGTTTCTCCTCCATATGAGGAAAGCAGAGTGTGAGTAGTGCTGATTCATGCCCACAAGATCCAGGATCCTGGATCAGGAGAGCATCGTACTTGATGGGTTGATTTCTGCTGCACATATAGAGTGTCAGTCTTGGAATTATGGCATCCAAATGCCTCATGGGGGATTATAGCACCCAGTGGTTATTTTAGCAGAAGTTGGGTCAGCACCACTGGCAACAGGCTAGGGGGTCAGGTGTAGCTTTGTCATCGGTAAAAGCCAGTTTCCTTTGTGGGGCACTCACGGTCTATGTGAGCTGCCTTTGGTTCACCTTACTGGCCTCAGCTCCCATGCCACCTCCCCACCACCTGCCTCTCCTACTCTTAGAACCTGAACTTGGTGGAAGCTGCCTGCCTAACAACTCCGAGCCTCTACTCATGCTGTTCCATCTACTGGAATGCCTGTCTTTTCCCATCTGTGCCTGCCTGGCGAACTCCCAACTACCTTACCTTAAGTATAAAGTAAGGTGCACTCTCTGACTTTCCAGTCACACCCCAGGCTAATTGGCCACCTTATCAGCTGAGCCCTCGCTGCACCCTGTGTAAAGTTCCCTTACAGAAACTTCAGCTTATTATACTTTTATATGTATGTCTTCTTCCCTGTACTCATCTGACAGCAACCCTAGGGAAAAGGCTTCGGCTAATTCTGTTCTATCCTCAGTGCCTATGTTCTGATAGGTACTTAATAAACTTGTTTGACTAAGTACTCTCTAAGCCCTATACAAAGCTAATTTAACAGTGATTAGTACCACTAAGAATGTGCTAGTGATTTGTATCAAGAGCTATTAGTACCATTAAGAATATGCTGGTGATTATCCAAAGTCACGCAGGGGCTTTTTGGCAATGCCGTGATCAGTTCAGATTTGCTCTGAATAGCCCACGGCAAAACAAAATAATAAAATAAAATAAAATAAAATAGGAACACAGAATCTCTTTGGCTCAGGGAAGAGCTTCTGATGTGTGAAGTTCTTTACCCAGGTAAGCAAAGTCACCTAGAAATACAGGCACCACAATGGGCACCGAAGCATCATGGGAATGGCAGCAGAAATCCCAGACCTCACTCTCTGGGAACAGGATAACCACAGCCACCTAGAGCTGTCCATTTATTTTAAGGCATCTGCAGACCCAAATGCTTGCAAAGTGAATTAAGGACCTCTTTTGAATTAATATAGCATTTTAGCAGTCTGAACTCTTCAGAGTAGCAAAGGCTAGAATGCTCAATGTGAACCCTAGGATCCTATGAAATACCAATGATTCCCCTTAAAAATCACACATGATTAGGGGCGCCTGGGTGGCTCAGTCGGTTAAGCGTCCGACTTCGGCTCAGGTCATGATCTCACGGTTCGTGGGTTCAAGCCCCACGTCGGGCTCTGTGCTGACAGCTGGCTCAGAGCCTGGAGACTGTCTTCCAATTCTGTGACTCCTTCTCTCTCTGACCCTCCCCTGCTCACGCTGTCTCTCTCTCTCTCTCAAAAATAAATAAAACATTAAAAAAAAATCACACATGATTAGATTGCAGCCGGTAGCTATCTGAGTGTGTAGCTGAGTGTGCTATCGTGTTCTCATTCACTCATTCACTCAAATAGTCAATGGACCTTTAAAGCTTGTTCACACATGCAGATCACAGAAGGCAAAAATGAGTGGGTGAGATGGGAAGGCTGGGCCAAAAGCCAGAAAAGGAAAATGTTTGAAGAAGCTTGTGTTAGTCCTACAAAGGCATCATCATTTTGTCTGAAAGTACAAATTCTCAGAACCTCGGGAACACGTTCAGATGTAAATACAGAGAACATAGCCAAAAGTCAAGTGTAGTTTTGTTTTTCCCAGTCAACCTTAGTATGATAACTAGAAGATACTTGTGTGACATGTTGACACCAC